TCCTTCAGGTGGCGAGTACATGGACACTTTGCTGGGCAGTCTTCTGTGCATCTCCATCTTGCCCAAGACCCAAACGGCCAAGTACGAGTTTTTCCATGAGCTTTCGCTGAATCAAACGGACTCCGCCCTGTGGGGACTTTTATCCCATCACCAGCAGTCCATTTTCCTGCTCGTCAAACAGCTGCTCGTCCTGTCGCCCGAGACCAAGAAGAAGACTCTCCAATGGCTGGCCAATTGCCTGGATGCAAACGTATCGCGTGGTCACCTGTGGAGCAGCATCAATCTGAACCTGGAGCAAACGGTCCACAGCACGGCCAGCGATGCCTTCATGACGAGCTTAAGTGCAGTTTTGATTCGTCTCTGCGCGCCTCTGTGTTTGCCCTCGTTGAAGGTAAGCAATTTATGCACCTGTTTTGGTTTTGTACTTAATATCTGTTATAGGTTCTTCTGGTGGACCCCACTTATTGTGCCGTGCCGGACAAGGATCGGCAGGAGAAGAGCGTGAGCCTGCTGAAGGCCCACGACGAGACCTGCCTGCTTCCGAGTGAAGAGGGCGCGGAGCGTCTGACGGCTGAAAAGTACAATTTCGTGACGGAGATCTTCTACATGACACACAAATGTTTCGAACTTGCCAATCGTCCCTGCATTGAACGCCTCACCCGCGTGATGCGCGAACTACAGAACACACAGACGGCCTACGAAGAGGTTCTTCACAGCGATCCCAACAACGAGTTGACCAAGAACCTATTTCGCATGATGCTGGAACAGATGCAGCAGGTGCTGTGCATCAAGAACACGCTGTCGGAGCCCTCGAATGACACCGCCTTGCTGAAGTTCTTCGAGGCCTCGGCCATCTGGCTGACGGAGGTGGCCATGCTGCCGCGAGAGATTTACGAGCAGTGCCTGGACAAGCGAGACTTCTCGCCGCAGCTACTCCGCAACCTGGAGCTGCTCTCGGACACGCCGCCCTTTGTGGCTCCCTATATGCAATCCGTGCCGGAAAGCATTATTGACAACATTTCGGCTTATTTGAACTTCTGCCGGCGACTCAACGGAGATCAATACATCCATATCTATTTTTCCGCCCACGATGCCTTCTTCAAGATGATACTGCTGTTCATGGGCAGCTCGGGGCTGGTCAAGAATCCCCACCTGCGTGCCAAGCTGGCTGAGGCTTTGGAATATCTCCTGCCCACGCAGATCCTGGGAAGCAATCGGCAGACTTTCGTCACTCACGTTTTCGACAACCATTCGGATCGGTTGAAGGTGGTGCGCAGTCTGCTGAACGTCTTCGTTAGCATCGAGATGACCGGTCAGTCGGTGCAGTTTGAGCAGAAATTCAACTATCGCCGGCCCATGTATGCAATAATGGAGTTTCTGTGGACAAAGCCGGAGCATGTGCAGTGCTTCCGGGATCTGGCCATCGAAGCGGAGGAGAATATGGAAGCCATCGAGCCGCCCATCTTTCTGCGATTCATCAATTTGCTCATCAACGATGCCATCTTCCTGCTGGACGAATCGCTGTCCAATCTCGAGCAGATCAAGCAGCTGCAGCAGGCCCAGGACAATGGGGAATGGAATGGCCTTTCGCATAACGAGCGCCAACAGCAGGTGACGAACCTGCAACACTTGGGAATGCTGGCGCGCTTTGACAACATCCTGGGAAGGGACACTATCAACATCCTGAAGCTTCTGACCACGGAGATCAGGAGCATTTTCTGCCACAACAGCATGGTGGATCGCATGGCAGCCATGCTGAACTACTTCCTGTTGCATTTAGTGGGGCCGCGGAAGGAGCGCTTCAAGGTCAAGGACAAGAAGGAGTTCGAATTCGATCCGGCGCAGACGGTGCTGGAGATCTCGCACATCTACATCAATTTAAGTGCTGACGACAGCTTTTGTTTGGCAGTGTCGCAGGATGGCCGCTCGTACAGTGAACAGCTTTTCGGCTATGCCGAAAACATCCTCGTGCGGATCGGAGGCGGTCAACTGATTGGCGACATGTCCGAGTTTGCCGTGAAGGTGGCGCGAATGGGAGCTCAGTATAAGGAGGAGCAGGAGCTGCTGGCTGATGCGCCGGAGGAGTACCTAGATCCGATTATCTCCACTCTGATGACGGATCCCGTCGTGCTGCCCAGCTCCAAGGTAACCGTGGATCGTTCCACCATCGCCCGTCATCTGCTAAGCGATCAGACGGATCCCTTCAATCGCGAACCGCTCACCATGGACAAGGTCAAGTCGAATGAGGCTCTGAAGTTGGAGATTGAGCAGTGGATCCAGGGCAAACGGGATGCGGCGCGCTCCAAGAGTTGAGGGAGCATCGGGCACGCAACTGCTGGCACAGCTGGCCAACCAAAGAGTTAAGTCCACGGGATCACGGATCAGGCTATAGTCAATGTTTTTGTTTTTTTCATAAGAATTCCAGTCATACATAGTGTCGTGTGTATGTTCAATCCTTGTACAGTTAGTGGTTTTTGAACTTTATTCCTAATCTATTTCTCTTATTGGTCAAATAAATGTTTCTATACTCTCGAGCTGTATTTATTTGTTGTTTGTTTTATGTTGTGTTGCCATTAGGGAACTAACCACGGTTTTGTTTTCAATTAAAATGTAAGCTCTGTATCTGTACATTAAATAAATAATACTTCATTAAACAACTAACATGTTTTTGGAAAATATTTAAAGAGAAAACTAGAGTATAAAGTCGAAAGATTATCATAATATTCAGAGTTGTGACTAATGCATTATTAGATTTATAATGAATTATCAATTTCATTAGCATTAAAGCAAAGTAATGCTAGTGAACTCAGTTTTCATTATCATTAGAAAAATTAATGCTTTTAATGCATTACTTTTGACAAATATAATGCTAATAAAAATTCAATTCAATACTTTTGAGAAAAGTAATGCTAATGAAAATACAATTTATTACCTTTGAGAAAAGTAATGCTATTAAAAAATCAATTCAATACTTTTGAGCAGGGACCGAAAATAACAGTTATTTTATTATTTTTAATCAAAAAAATCTTGCACTTCGGATCCCACTAAAAATCAGAGAAAAAAGTCACATAACCAATCTAATGCGGTCTATTCAGATCCGCAATGACCTAAATTTTTGTAACTTTTTTGAAATTGGTCATGAAGTAACTGTTATTTCAGACTTTTAAAATAAAAGTCAGAGAATAACAGTTATTTTTTGACCGAAAAAATAAAAGTCCTCCGTAACTTTTATTCATGACTTTTATAATAAAAGTCTAAAAATAACTGTTATTTTTAGACTGAAAAAATAAAAGTCAAGATAACTCTTACGAAAAGACTTATAGTAAAAAAATCATTAAATAACTTTTATTTGGTGATCGAAAATATATAAGTCTTAAATATCTGTTGCTCAATTGGAATTGGAATTTTAAAGGTTGCAATTTGTACTTATACACATGAATTCTTCAACATAATAAGACCGCGAATTCTTCAGACCTAGAGAAACCATTAATGACCATGGTAACAATTTTTAAAGTTCTAACCAATACAGCCATTCATGAATTCTTCAACATAATAAGACCGCGAATTCTTCAGACCTAGAGGAACCATTAATGACCATGGTAACAATTTTTAAAGTTCTGACCAATACAGCCATTCATAAAGTCATAAACATAATAAGACCGCGAATTCTTCAGACCTAGAGGAACCATTAATGACCATTGTAACAATTTTTAAAGTTCTGGCCAATACAGCCATTCATGAATTCTTCAACATAATAAGACCGCGAATTCTTCAGACCTAGAGGAACCATTAATGACCATGGTAACAATTTTTATGACAATTTATGACAACCTTTTATGTTGAACTCAACTAATAATGTAACGATGTACAACAAAACCTTTGACAATAAAATATTTGAATAACATATGAATACTCGATTATGTATACGCATATTATTCAATGTCGCGCTAGTAATTATCAAGGCTCGCTATATGAGTTTATGACTTTATGAATGGCTGTATTGGTCAGAACTTTAAAAATTGTTACCATGGTCATTAATGGTTCCTCTAGGTCTGAAGAATTCGCGGTCTTATTATGTTTATGACTTTATGAATGGCTGTATTGGTCAGAACTTTAAAAATTGTTACCATGGTCATTAATGGTTCCTCTAGGTCTGAAGAATTCGCGGTCTTATTATGTTGAAGAATTCATGAATGGCTGTATTGGTTAGAACTTTAAAAATTGTTACCATGGTCATTAATGGTTTCTCTAGGTCTGAAGAATTCGCGGTCTTATTATGTTGAAGAATTCATGTGTATAAGTACAAATTGCAACCTTTAAAATTCCAATTCCAATTGAGCAACAGATATTTAAGACTTATATATTTTCGATCACCAAATAAAAGTTATTTAATGATTTTTTTACTATAAGTCTTTTCGTAAGAGTTATCTTGACTTTTATTTTTTCAGTCTAAAAATAACAGTTATTTTTAGACTTTTATTATAAAAGTCATGAATAAAAGTTACGGAGGACTTTTATTTTTTCGGTCAAAAAATAACTGTTATTTTCTGACTTTTATTTTAAAAGTCTGAAATAACAGTTACGTCATGACTTATAAATAAAAGGTGCTGAATAACGATTAATCGATGACTTTTAAAGTAAAACTTATAACTGTTACGGTCCCTGCTTTTGAGAAAAGTAATGCTAGTGAAAAATATTTCATTACTTTTGAGAGAAAGTAATGCCAATGATATTTTGTTCATTACCATTAATAATGATAATGAAAAAATGTTCATTAAAAATTTTATAAAATATTTTTCAACTATATTTTACTTTAATCATATTAATAGGAACTAAAATAAAACTAACAAATTCGTTTCCATAACCGATATAGGATAAAGAACGATCTGGAAAGTAAAGAAGTGGTTTTCTAGACAGCTTTAATCACGAGAGACTAGTTATACAGTCGTATTGAAATGTCTTTATATGTTCTTTTTGAAAAACTGTTGCTTTATTAATCCCTGATAACTCCTTATCGTAAGGCTTTAACCTGCTCCATCGGTCTTTCCCGAAGGACTTGATGCACTGCCCTCCATGTCTCGACCTACTGATTCGAGGAAGCGATTGAAGTAGCGACGCCCTGTCAAATACCATAAGGCCTCGTAATAACTTTTTGGCAGGACCTCCGGAACCTTGTGGCTGCACAAATAGGTCAAATGCAGCGTGTTGCAGGGAAACTGCGTAAAGTCATTGCCATGGATGGCGTCCACCACAGTCATCAGCTGGACGTAATTGTCCTGGGTGTAGACCACGTAGGCCTTCAGGTTTATATAGCTGTGGACGGGGATCGAATGGGTGAAGGTGATGTCCGATATGAAACGGATCATCGAGTACTCGTTGGCGAAGAGGCTGGCCGTCATGTAGGCCAACTCGATGGCGTTGCGGATGATGAAGCCACCGAAAATGGTGTTCGATTCGTTGCGGTGCTCCGGGAAGGAGTGCAGCAGGGTCCGGCGATGCCACTTGGACATCCAGCGGCAATCCGGAGGCAGAGTGGTCATATCCGTGGGTGTGGGACCCTCGATGCCCTTGGTTCGAGTGAACAACTCATACATGATCTGCTCCTCCTCCCTCGAAGGCTTTCGTTTGTCCTCCAAAAGGGGCGATTTACCCGCCCTTAGCTTGTGCCGCTCCAGGGCCTCCTGGTGGAGGCATTCCTCCAGTTCGTTGGCCGGCACTAGAGGATTCACTGGGGCCGGGCCACTATTGGTGGCATCGCGGGCGGCAATCACAAAAATGGCCTTCGCCAGCAGCATTCCACTTTGCCGCACATATGCCGAGATCTCCATGGAGCTATCGCCCGTCCACGAAACGTGTCCCGACAGGGAGACGTCCACATCCGGCCTGAACTTCTCGACCAGGAAGTGCCCGTGGTCCACCAGCAGGGTGACGAAAGTGTAGGGCAATGGAACGCCTTTCGGTAGCTTCGGCAGAAGGACATGCCGATGGCAGATCCACACTGCAGGGGAAAAGATCTTAATAAGAACAGGGATTGGGATCAGAATTGTAAAATCGATATGGCCATGTAAATTTCAAGTCGTTTTTACATGAAATACCCTTTTCGACCAGGTCAAATTTACCAGAGGCCAGGTCAAATTAAAATTGATCTTAAATAAGGTAAAATTGACCTACGATTCATTTCGATTTTTTTTGGGTGCAGTTTACCTTACCGGCGAGAAGGTCGAGTTCCTCCATCATCCTGCCCATGCGCAGCAGGCCGCCGGCGTAAGCGAAGCGTTGCCTCAGCAGAGCATCGGATTCCAGGAGCACATTGGCGCTCGTCTGCGAGTCCGTCATGGAGCGGTTCGGCAAGTCGCTCAGCTTTGGCTGGAACTTGAGCAGCCCTTCCCGGCTCTTGGGGATGGCGTGGTAGCCAGCCTCCACCCCGATGTACTCCCGGATTTTCTTTGCCACTTGAGATTAGGATTAGGATCGGGATTACGAGTATTGCAGCTGGTTGTGGTTACCGTCTGCCATGGTGCCCGAGCAGTGTCCGGACTCCAGTTGCTTCCTGCCGCATTCCGCGAACCGGTGACGAAGGGATCCCAGTTGCGGACACAATCCTCGCAAGGCGATCCTCCCAAAGCATTTGCTTTTTTTGCAATTTGAAAAAATATACATTTGTATGTCAAATAACAAAATAAATGAAATTAGAGTAAAGTAAAATTAAATACTATACTACTATTCAAGTTGAAAACAAACAACTTTTTAAATAGTAACCAATCATACAAATTTAAAGTTTTTGAGCCCTAAATAAACCGTTACACCCCTTGGATTCCCAGTCCGCTCCTGTTCAAAAGCGGCGCTGGCATTTCCCCGCAAGTCGCGAACGGTCTCACTGTTCCATACGGTTGTTTCCATATGAACTGACTGTTTTTTTTATACCGAGTGCAGTGCAGAAAAAAATGGTTAAAGCTCTTTTTGAACCAATATATTTTACATAACGGCTGTGCATCAAATAACCAACCGAGCGGAGGTCAAGAACTCATCCGACGCCGCCTGAGCGTGGTCGTCCTGCTCCCAGAGCCACCACCACCCCCAAACCCTCAGGGCTCCGCTCCTGGGTGCGCGAATCAATTACAGCGACGTCGTAACGCGAAAATCGATTTCGGCTGCGGGTGCAGGCTGAATCACCAGAAACTATGTCCCACTGCGATGTGGACGCGGAAGTAGAGATGACATCGCCCAGCAGGATGAAGGAAGCAGCCGTTAGCCGGAGCAGCGTTCTCCTCCTCCTGGCCACAGTGATTCTGGGCCTACTGACCTCCGGATGCGAGGCCACGGACACGGATATCGCCCTGGACGCCAAGGCCACGCTGAACCATCGCATCCAGAGCCTGGATCTGCTCGTCTTCGTGTTCCTGCTGGCCCTCACGGTCCTCACCATATGGCTGTTCAAGCACCATCGCGTCTCCTGGCTCCACGAGACCGGACTGGCCGTCATTTACGGTATGTTGGATTCTTAGGGTCTCAGAAGGTGTCATGAAAAGTCATCATTACATCTCCGGGCTCATAAAGTTTAGATTTGTATATACAAGATGATAATATGTATCTACAATGTACAATATGTTGGCATTTCCGTTTGTCTAGTCTCCATATTTTAAAGTTATCTGAATGAAGCTTTTATAGATCTCATCTTTCAATCGTCACATCTTTCTATTCATAGCTGCACTGAGGGAAAAATTGAATTCTAATAATATTTAATGTGTAACTAATGATTACCTTTTTCTAATATTACCCCACAAAATCCGATATGAAATAGGTTTATTTCTACCTTATTTCATATCAATAAAAAGGCGATATGACTTATGTCAAAATTAAAGATTCAATCATGATATTTTATCATATCATAAAAATACAAAATTTAGTATTTTTTGAGCAAATAATATAAAATTAGATTAACATAATTTTTTTCATATCAAAATGATATGAATAACTTGATCTTTAAAAAATATCAAATTGACCATTACCATTTTTTTTTTCTGTGCCTTTAAGATATACAAGAATTTAATATATTTTTTACTATATACAATGTATATAACTTGAAGATAGCTTTTGTTATTCAAAATACCTTTTTCCTGCAATACCTAGAACTCAAAGCTCTTGATTATCGGTCACCTGCCCGTCGTTTTGTAGACCCCGTCATTTTCATTGTCACCTCTTTGTTGTCCCATATTCGGAATTACCCTTTTGTGCACGCCAGCCGTGACATTACGTTCGAGCATTTGGGAGGCAGTAAAAGCCAAAGTAATCTAAATAAACATAGAAGAACCTGCACGCAACGACAACGGAATCCATTGCAGCAAAGATATTGTACACGAGACCTTGTCGTGCTTAGTCAGCCATTATCATTGGGGTTTTCCGTCAAAATACATTTTCACTGCTCTTTCATGATCGCGCAAACCTGCCGAGTACTTTGTTATTCTAACATTTTCATATACATTAAGTACTGCGGCATATGTGTGCAGCAATAAAAGAGCAAACAAGATTTCTTTCAACTAATTGAAGCTAATGAAACAATTCAATAAAACAGGTTGGGCTGGGCATTGATGAAACCCCGGGCCTGGGCGTAAATTGGGAATGATTATTTAGCATTCCCCAACAGAGCGGGTGAAAGCTTTTTGTTATGGCCCAGCTCGATTGATAAATTCCCAAGATGTTGTGTTCATTACAATACACGGGAAATAAAACAATTTTCAAATCAAGCAAGATAAAGAACACCCTAAATCACTCTGTTTGTTTTTCTCTGATAACGTTTGACTAAGCATATTTCTTATCGGTTCGGTTCTATTAGTCACACTTTCGCTTTTGCGATAGGTCAGGCCAGACATTGGACATGTGCTGTTTTCTTAAAAAAAAAAACTTTTAAAATAAATAATATAATCTGAAGTGACCTCAAGGCAACACTTGTTTTTACTTACCATCATGTTTTCATTTATTTTTATATGATTGTTCCAATATTAATACTATATTGACTAAAAAAATTTTGTTATATTGAGTTTTTCTTAAACTACGATATTCACAATTATTTTTTGTTTTTAAAGACATGAAACTGCGTTCTAATGTTATTACTAATTTCTAATAATAATAATATTATTTTATTGACTACAAAAATTTGTTATGTTGAATTTTTTTAACAAATATATTCGCAATTGTTTTCTGTTTTTAAAGACATGGAACTGCATTTTAATATTATTACTAATTACCTATACTAATTTTTAAAAATTCATTTAAAATCTTAATTAAAAGCCAAACCAAATAGATGTTTTATCTTTATTTCCTTATCCTCTCTCAGGCTTAATTGTTGGAGCAATTATTCGGTATGCGGGAACCTCCGCCACCCTTGTCCACATGCAGGTGGAGCCGCAAGGTGTTCCGACGTACACCGATAAGTTGCCGCCCGATACCCTCTGGTTTAAGGTAAGTCATTAAATGACAGAACAATGCCGGGGTTAATATAATTCTTGTCTTTGTTTTAGTACCCCGTTAACCAGACGAATGGAACCAAATTACCGGAGGGCATCAAGACATACGCCTATGTATTTCGTGGTCAGGTCCACGATGTGGATGAGAATGAAATCGATCTGAAGGCAACTTTTGATCCAGAGGTGTTTTTCAACATTTTACTACCGCCTATAATATTTTACGCGGGTTACAGCTTGAAAAAGGTTTGCTTATTGCTCTGAATTTTGTAAACAATTTACTGGATTGGTTTTCTTCTTCGCAGAAATACTTTTTCCGCAATCTGGGTGCCATCCTCACGTTCGCCATTGTGGGCACTACCTTGTCGGCCTTTCTTATCGGCGGCTTCATGTACGGTTGTGTGAAACTGATGCCAAAGTACTTGAGCAGCAGTTTCACATTCCTGGACACTCTTTACTTTGGAGCCCTGATATCGCCCACAGATCCGCTCACCATTCTAGCCATATTCAACGATCTTCGAGTTGACGTTAACCTATATGCGCTAGTCTTGGGCGAATCTGTGCTCAACGATGCCGTGGCCATTGTCCTTAGCGGGTAAGGGTTTTCTGATTTATTTTAAATAATTTTAAGTAATATGTGCTTATTTATTTGCAGAGCAATACAAAACTATGGTGAACATTACTCTAATACAGGGGAATTCGAAACTACAGCTTTTCTGCGCTCGTTAAGTGACTTTTTCTCCATCTTTCTGCTGTCCCTGATGATTGGCGCCGCCATGGGCTGTTTGACAGCATTGATATCCTTTTCAAATATGCCTTTACTCTATAATATTAACTTTAGTACAATAGCTAGATCGATAACTTCCTTAACTCCTGCCACACATGACCAAATTCACGCGGGTTCGCGACTTTCCCCTTCTAGAGTCGGCGCTCTTCGTGCTAATGAGCTACAGCACCTTCCTGCTGGCCGAGGCCACCGAACTCACTGGCGTGGTGGCCGTGCTCTTCTGCGGCATCTGCCAGGCCCACTACACCTACAACAACCTGTCGGAGGATTCGCGGCAAAGAACTAAACAGATCTTCGAGCTGCTTAACTTTTTGGCCGAGAACTTTATATTTTCCTATATTGGCGTTTCGATGTTCACCTTTCCCAAGCATCATTTCGACGCGGGATTTATCATAACAGCTTTCGTAAGTTTATTTCTATATTATTGAAAATCCCAAGGCTAAAAAATATTTTACTTTCGCAGATCTGCGCCGCTATAGGACGTGCCGTGAATGTGTATCCTTTATCCTGGCTGCTGAACATCAAGCGGAAGCCTAAAATCTCCTCAAACTTCCAGCACATGCTGTTCTTTGCTGGCAAGTCTTTAATTGCTACTAAAAAGGGACTCTTTGTAATGAGTTTAATTTCTAATAGGACTTCGTGGCGCCATGTCCTTTGCCTTGGCCATCCGAAATACAGTGTCGGATGCGCGACAAACTATGTTGACCGCCACATCGCTGATTGTCATCTTTACGGTCGTAATCCAAGGTGGGGCAGCCAATTTTCTGTTAAATTGGTTGAAAATACCGTGAGTACATGCCGTACATTTAAATGCTTCCGCGTTTATTATCAAAAATCTCCCTTAATTGCAGTGTTGGCGTTGACGATGAGACTGAACAATTAAATAATTACCAAGTGCACAGTGTGAGTACACAAATATCACGTACATATGTACGTGCTTTTAGAAAGTATTTTGAAAAATGTTTGTGAACAGTAGAGGATTATCTATTTAGTACATATATTTAATGTCTAAAGATCTTTAAGCCATAATTGCAAATGCATTGATTAAATTACAACTTCTCTCTTACATTCTTTTGAAAGAATAATTTTTAACTCATGATTTTTGTTACTTATACATTTCTACGCACCTCACAACATTAAACCATCTGCTCAAAAAAAGGTTTACAATTCAATGGACAATTCACACCCGCAGACGGTAGGTTTTTGGCAATGATCATTCAATACATGTCCGTTTTGTTTAAATTGAATTTATAATTTTATCTAGCCTCTAGCATATTTATTATCCAAACGTTGACAGGCCCTTTTTTATAAGCAAATATTTTGAATTTCTAATTTTTGTGCATTTTTCTTTTGTTCACCCGCATTGAAAGTAGAGCTAATATCATTTAATTGAACTCTGTGTTAGTCTGACGGTTATTTACAGGATGTGGAAAGCGCCGGCGGAGGTCGCGGCAAGTTGCGTTTGTCCGGTGGAACGGAGTCCAACTTGGATACGCCAGCGGATGGACCGAATGGCAGTTTGGGCGGTGGACGTCGTCGCAACAGTCACGAGAAGGCCATACTGGCTAGGATCTGGGGGAACTTTGATACCAAGTGAGTGGCAGTAAACTATAAAGATTTGAATTTCACTTAGAGACTGATACCGTATCCCTAGGTACATGAAGCCCTTGCTGACGCACTCGCGACCCACTCTGCTGGAGACGCTGCCCGTTTGCTGCAATCCCATTGCCAGACTGCTCACCACCACACAGCAGTTAACTCAAGTGAGTTGAATGCTGCACTAAACAGGAGAAAAAGGATAATAACCAACTGAAATTCCTTTCAGGATGGTAGCGAATTTAGGCGCGTGGACTCGGACTCGGATATCTGCATAGACAATGATACCGGGAATGGTCTCAGCCAGGATGTTGGACCCGGAACGGGACCGGCTGTGGGGCGCCGGAACTCTCTGAGTCGCGTAAGTATCAAGTACACCGGCGATAATCACCATCTGCTCGCTAGCTACCGAAATATTGAATAACCGAATGAGCGAAGCACCCCAACCACCAAAGACTAATCCTAGGCGTAGCAAGCTGGCCATTAACACACGAAACGAAAAACCTCAACTAAACCAGAAACCAAAAAACAAGAACCGAAAGCATCTACACCATAGATACTTTGGCAAAGTAGACATATTGTTATTTAAATACTTAACAACCATGAAAATGTGATTTTTGTTTAGCGATATTCTGTTTTTGTATAATTTATATGTTGATTTTGTGGTGCAAGAGGAAAGGAGGAGGCTATTAATTTGCACCCACCTTCAATATTGTTGATTAATTGTTTAAGTTTGTGCGGCGGCAAGCGATTTCTAGTCTACGATTGTAACACCTATGTAATATTGATTTGACTGTTAACTACTACCTAATGCATGCTTACCAAATATACTATATAATCGAAATGTAACTACTCTCTCAGCGATGATATTAATTTATTTATTCATTTCTGCGGCATCTTTCTTTCTTTCTTTCTGTCTTTCCTTCGACCAATCAATCATCTAACAAACTCATGCGGACTATTTATCAATTTAACTTTGGTTGCTCTAACAACAACAACAACAACTACAACAACCAATGAAAAACTGCATTCATCTAAAAAACAAATATATCAAAAATTTTATCAATTGGTAAATGCCCAAAAAAAAGTCTGTTCAATTGAACGAAGCCAATCATCACCTTGCAAATGAACTCAGCCTGGTTACTAATAATTTCATGTAATCATTTCTGTGGAAGAACCAAGAGATCGAGCCCGTTTCTTATGTATTTGATTTATTTACTATTTATAATATTTTTGTTTGTTTTTGTCTACTTTTCCTTGGTAAATCAAATGTTGTAAACGAAGCACAGACGGAGACCCAGACATGAAAAACTAAGTCCCAGAGTCAGTTAGTTCAGTCAGTGAATTGATTAACAGATTAACAAATGCTTCTTAAAGCACAGCAGTTAAGAATGTTCGTTTGTATTGTTCACTTTTAATTTCTGTATTTTTCCTCATAATCTAATTTCTTAGATTCTAACACGCGACTAACCATGTAAGTACAAATTAAATTGCAGTTGATTTCCTCATTTCCTTATCGCCTTTTGTACATAAATACGTACTTAAAAATAACCATAAATTCACTTATTAAATAAATTTTATATTTATTTATTTGATTTTCTTCTAAAAATTATTATTATTTCTTTTAGGTTGGAGGCGAGCATCGAAATGTTTACTTATAAGTTTTATTAATTTTTCTGTTTCTTTTGTTATTTATTTTAATTGGTCTCATTTAAAATGGAATATGATGTGAAAACTGTACAAATTAGATTATTACTCCTTAGTTTCTCCTTGTTTACGATATGTGATTCGGAACTCTAGTTATAAATTAAATATCAAGCTTATCAATTAATTCAAAAGTTCTTGTGCAACGATTTAAATTCCGTAAGGGCACTGAAGCTACCTTTCATCAAGGTGACACACACGAATACCATACCTTAAAACACGATATATTACATGCATATGAAGCCTCTTTTATTTTAATTTTTCTACTCTTGCGTCTTTGCCATTTTCTTAGTTTTGCCAAAATATATAAATACGCCTAACTAAATGGCCTAGTGAAAATTTATACGAATACTTATAGACATATTTTCTTTTTCTTATTTATTCGTCATCGCAATATATGCAAACATTTAAAAATATTCGCCTAAAACCACAAAACAAATTTATATTCAGATGGAGATTCTGGAGCATGTTCAAAGTCCGGTGTCGACGAGAATCAGACTCTTAGGATTTTATGGAAAAAAGTTATAAAAGCCAAGGCAGAAATAATCTTATTTACTTTTTGATGTATTTTACACAACATAAAAAATTATAGCTTTTTCGTTTTAAGAAGTTAGTGTAAATATATCGTTTTGAAATCTGAGCTAAATATGTATATTCGGTTTAGTTCTAACGTTTAAATTTCGATCCATTTGCTGATCTATTAATTTGTTCCCATATTACCTAAGACCATTTCTTACTACATACATACGCTGTATTTTAATCAAAGCGAAGCTCTCTGAAGATATTAATTGTTGTGCTGTTAATTTTTAAGTCTCAACAAAATAAAATAAAAAACAAATGTGCCGAATTGTTTTATTTTAGAAACAAGAATTGGAGTTTACTTCTTGTTTAATTGTTTAAAATCGATTTGGTTCCGTTAAATACTTCAACTACCACCCGTAATGAAATTTTTGAAAACGCCGTATTTTACAAATATGCCGAAGCAGTGTCACTAAATTAATACAATTATTTCGTATTTAATTCAAATTTTTTAAATGGCTTAAAAATTGATTTCAAATCGGAAAAAACTTACAATTTTTGAAAACATTGAATTTTAAAAATATTGCGGTGCAGTGTCACCAAATTAATACGATTATTTTGTATTTAAGGCTAATTTTTTTAATGTCTTTTAAATGATCATGCTTTTATAAAATAGCGTTTAAATCGGAAAAAACTTCAAGTTTTCTAAAACATTGAATTTAAAAAATATTGCGCTGCAGTATGACCAAACTTCGTATGTAGGTATTTTAAGGCCCTGCTGCATTGGGCACACTGTGACGGCGCGCATTTTTTATTATTGGAGATTTTGGAATCGCTTTAAAATTGATATAATCACTGACCTACGATACTCATCATGGAGGTGGTCAAGCGCGGCTTCCTCCGCGCCTGCAAGAACCACAGTTACCTGAGCTTCGAACTGATCGATAATATTCTGGGCCCGCTGTGCGCCCACCACAAGGTCCCGAAACCCTCCAGCAAGGAGGCCGTGAAGGCACTCGTGAGCGAAATAAACGACACCATCAGCGACTTGGGACTGACGCTCGTCTTCATCAAGTATCCAGTTAAGAGCGAGGAGTATCTGGTGTTCGCCAAGACGGATCCCACGCCCGACAACGTGGCCAACACGGGACTGTCGGCCGAGGAATGCCAGTACTTCTCCAGGCTGCTGGACAAGATTGCCTCCGAGGAGGACTGCCACATCGCCTGGAATGCGGCCTACAACCTGCAGGGCAACTCGAAGCCGCTGAAGAAGAGCCGCATGCAGGAACTGCTGCAGAAGTGGACCCAAATGGGCTACTTCATGGAGCTGGACGAGAGCATCTACCTGGGGCCGCGCAGCCTCGTCGAGTTGAGCTTCTACCTGACCACCAATCACGGGGAGCACATCAAGAACTGCATGCTCTGCAAGTGCCTGGTGCTGTGGGACATCCGCTGCGGATCGTGCAGCATCCAGTTCCATCGGGAGTGCATCCACACCTACCTGCAGCGCCGCGATATCTGCCCGTCCTGCGGCAACAAGTGGACGACGCCTCTAAGACGTTCCACTAGTTCATCTTCATAAGAACTAATTTTGTTAAGTATAGTATAGATTTCGGTTAGTATATGTATCGTATAATCAGGTTTACCCATGTCTATTGGTATTAACTAACTGATTTCAAGAATACAAATAAACGAGTTAAGTTAACATGTTAATTGTACTGAAAAAGATTTCTATAAGTATGACAAGGTCTTAAGGAGCTATTTATACCCGTTTCTCGTAGAGTAAAAGGGTATATTGCATTCGTGCAAAAGTATGTAACAGCTAGAAGAAAGCGTTTCCGACCCCATAAAGTATATATATTCTTGATCACTGATCAGGGTCACTGGTCGATCTAGCCATGTCCGTCTGTATGAACACTGAGATCTCGGAAACTACAGAAGCTAGAAGGTTGAGATTTCCCACACATATTCTTGTGCTTCCTACGCAGCGCAAGTTTATTTCAGCGAGCGCCACGCCCCCTCTAACGCCCATAATCGCCCACTAACGATTTTAAAATGTGTCCTGCGCCCACATCTTTAAAGATTTCAGAGAAGTATAAATGCAATTTTGATGTGTATATTTATACCTATCGAAATGTAGAAGACATTTTTCAAATCGGACCATTCATTAAAAAGTTATACGCAATCAAAGTTCTTTATATATCTATCTCCCTCGCACTCCCTTTAGCTGAGTTACGATTATTAGTTGGGACACCAACCCGAGTACAGCGTTCGCACTCCCTTTAGCTGAGTGACGGGTATTAGATAGTCGGGACACCAACCCGACTATAGCGTTCTCTCTTGTTTGAAAATACTATAATAAGTATTAATACTTTTCCTATTTAACCTCGAAAGTTATGTACATGCATTAGGCAAAGTTGAATATATCCAAAGTTTACTGTTCCTATAACTGTAATACCTCTCTCGAGACCTAGCAAACAAACCTCTCTCTTTCGAATGTCACTCTAAAATGGCGTGTACGAGACAGAAAGATCTCAATGTTCGTCGAGATGAGTGTTTGTGACAGTCCAAATAAAAGTTCCAAGCTGGACAAAAAGTCCTTGACTCCTTTCAAGAAGGTGCGTCGCAAAAATTGGAAGCAGGAGGCGGTCTACAAGGTGAAATACTAAGTTCTTCGTAGTTGGACAACCTAAATGCAGTTTCTTTTTCAACTAGAGTGATATAAGCAAGGGCCAGGAGGTGTCTTATGTGGGTGAAAGGTTTATACCCAAGCGTTTTAATCGGGACAGTATTGAATTCAACCTTAAGTACATTGGCAAGCGGGAAGAGCGGGACATTCTGGAAACGGTGAGAACCTATTTCTAGTATTACAATTTAAGTTTTCCTAACGACGTTCAGGGTGAGACTTTGACGGCTAGTTATTGGCGTCAGAGCGGCTTTATAGCCAACATTAACAGGACCTTCGGGATCCAGGAGCGCCGGCTGCTTCAGTTCTGCAGTCTACAGGGAACGCGATCCACGGTTGGCGACAGTGACTCCGCGGACTCCGACTGGCCATGTAATCCCCGGGCGCGTCCACATGCCATCCAGAATGCCACCCATGAGATGCCCGGCATCTGCAGTCCCGTCGACTACAACATGATGGACTGGTCCTCCGGCGGCATGGTGGCCATGTCCTCCGGCCAGGACATCATGCTGTGGCGCAACCTGGACGAGAGCACCATGCTCTTCAGCGTTGAGTCGCCCACTGCCCTGAAATACTCGCCAGATGGCAAGTACCTGGCCATCGCCTGCATGGATAGGAATTACCCAGGTATAGAAGTTGTCCTTAAAAACCCAGTTAACCCCTTATAATCCTTTTTTTTCACCCCAAGTCCTGGACCTCTGGGAGGTAAGATCGACCATGGAGTTCCTGGTCTCCTATCGCAAGCTAATCTTTAGTTCCTGGGGCTACGTAAGTTGCATTGAGTGGTCGCACGATGGCAAGGAGCTCACCTGTGGCACCCAGTGCGGCATCATCGTCGTGCTGGCCATGCCCAAGCTGCGGACTCTGAACCATTTGCGCGAGCACCGCCACAAGGTGAACAAAATCAAGTTCGATCCCACGCGAAAGTATTTCGCGTCTAGCGATACGGATGGTACCATCTTTATCTTTGACGCCGTGCTGAAGGTTCGCCTGCTGAAGCTGGGCGGCAAATCCATACTCTTCGACTGGCATCCCTGGACCGGCGAGGATTTAGCTGTTGGTTAGTACATACACAGAAAAAATATTTTTCAAAGATCAATTTATTCATATTATTTTGATATTATTTGCTCAAAAAATACTAAATTTGGTATTTTTTATGATATGATAAAATATCATGTTGATATGATTGAATCTTAAATTTGACATTAGTCATATCAGCTTTTTATTGATATGAAATAAGGTAGAAATAACCCTATTTCATATCGGTTATTTTTTCTGTGTAGGTTATGGTAGCTAAGAGGAATATACATAATAATAAAATAATTAAACTCCACAGCGGAGCGTAGTCCTGCCTGCGTTTTCATCTTCAACATACCGCGGCGGCAATTTGTGGCCTCTTACAGGCGCAGGGACGACAGGATAGTTATAAAGACAATAACTTTTAGCAAGATCACGGGAGAGTTGCTGGTCAACGTTATTCGACGTGGTGAGCTCTTTAGTAAGCTAAACACCTGGTTCACCACTCGAAGTAATGTTTCTCTTCATATCTTACAGATGAATCGGACTTTGCCATCTGCGAAATCTTGGTCCTGGCCTCGTTGAATCGAGTTGTGGACCTGATGTCCCACCAGGATCGCGGCACCTTGTTCCTGATGTGGAATCCAGATGGAACGAACATTGCCACCGGCGGCCTGGATGACACCTTTTCACTGTGGAACTTCTTTCCCACCCACAAACAGAAGGCCATACTGCGAAAACAGGAGCAAAAGGCCAAGGACAATTGCAGCTCCTTGAGCCTGTTTAAGGGAATTCGTTGAAGAGTTTAGGGTTTATATTTTTTTTAATGTATATCTGTGTCTAGTCTTTTACTCAAACCAAATGTGCTTTTCATTATTTATTCAATTCATATTGCTTCCATAAAAATTCCATTGGATTTAACATAGGCGTTGTTTTACTCTAAAATGAACATAAGAAACTTGGGGTCTCTCCACCCAAACTGAAGGTATGAAAGTAAAATTCCATTGTTCACCATGGGATTACAGCGTTGAAATTTGGTAACTAATCACTAGGCTAGAGGTAAATGTTGTAAAGATGTCCGTAGAATCGCTGGCATCCTTCGCTCAATAGTCGCGCTGCTTGGGTCTCGAGTGGGCCTCCTGCTGGAAGATGTACTCCGCACAGGCCTCGGCTTCCAGGCGGCGTTTCTGGAGCAGATGGGGCTTGATGACAAAACGATGGGTGGTGTAGATGAGGACCGTGGATCCGATGCCTATGGCCATCAAACCGACAGTCGTTGTGGCGAATCTTTTGAGACCGTTAATGAAACTCATCTGGGGGTGTGAAGAAAATAGATTATGTTAATTTAGCTGTCAAAAAATCATCAAAAGGATATTCTAACTTTTCAGCTGCCGGTGCTTTTGGTTCTGAATCGGTTTTCTTTTCGCCCTTGTACTTCAAAATCAGTGGCTGCCAAATGTAAATACCGCCTAGCACCCCAATTGCCGTGACCACCATCAACTGCGGAACTGTGACACCTTTGGGACGACGAATTTGCATGGCATGTGCGTTCAGTCGAGCTATTTATTTACTATTTGATATTAAATGCACTAGTTCCTATTGCCGGCTGCTGTTACATCAACGCACCATGAGATTTTGGTGTGGATCAGCTGTTGGCAACTCTCGCTTAGCAACACTGGTCATTTGGCAGTGTTGCCAGACTTTACCCGGCTTAATTAAAGCTTATTTAAAATTCAAATTTTAATTAAAACCTATTTATAACTGCAACTGAATCTGTGACGTCATTTTAGAAAAAGCATTTGCAACTTCCCTTTTAAGGTGATTGGGTAATATTTCTAACAAAAATACAGGAAATGGGGGAAATACAAGTACATATTTATGTTCATTTCTTTTTAAGAATTTGTATGAATTGTTTGACTAAAATTTACTAAAATAGTTGAATGAATGTATAATTTATAGGTAGTAAAAAACTAAATTTGGATTTGAAAAAATGTTAGCTAAATGCAGTTTTAAATTTTAATAACAGAAATCCTTAATAACTTTTGTTTTTTTCCAAATTTTGTTAAATGTTTTTAAAGAAACATAATCATTTAAGCACCTAAAAATGTTATCAGTGCCATTCCACTTGCTTTATTTACTCCTCTTTGGCATTATCGTCTTCGCCAGAGGATAATGACGTAGGCCGTGAGTCTTCACTTTGGGAGTCCCAACAAAAACCACACACATGCGCAGCCACAGCGACGCCAAAGCCGACCTCGGCGGCGCAGCAGCAGCGGAGAGAGGCTTGAAGCTGGTTCTTAAAACGCTCTGCCCGCTCAGCGCGCACGTCACTCTCAGTTGGAACGGCGCGTCAAACGGTTATCGCTTGCTCCTCCGGCGCTCCCTCGCCTCTCGCCCCCCCGCATTTAACAGTTGTTTCGCTGCTTGCGAATAAGAAGCGGATAGCAAAAGCCACAAGAAGAAGATCGAGACGAAGCAGCAGCAGCAAGAAATATGACAAAGATGGGCGGAAATTTGGCAGTGATGCTGCCGCTGGTGTCGCTGCTTTTAAGCGCCACCTTTGCCACCGGCAACGGCAATTCCATACCGACGACCACAACGCCCCAGGGCGTTTTTGAGACCCGCACGGACAAGCTTCCCAGCGGAGCTCCGGTCCTGCCCTCCAGTGCAGCAGGCGGCATCTACGACGACATAGACACCTTTGTGCCCTTCAGGAGCGACTCGCATGATCCCTTCTCCTGGCACCTGCTCAAAACGGTGCTGCAAAACGAGACGGCCGCCAAGAATGTGATCATCTCGCCGTTCTCGGTCAAACTGGTTCTGGCCCTGCTGGCCGAGGCAGCCGGAGCCGGAACCCAGACCCAAGTGGAGCTGGCCAACACGCAGACGGACATTCGGTCGCAAAATAATGTCCGCGAGTTCTACCGCAAAACCCTGAACTCTTTCAAGAAGGAGAACCAACTCCACGAAACACTGAGTGTGCGCACCAAGCTTTTTACGGATAGTTTTATCGAAACCCAGCAAAAGTTCAGCGCCACACTGAAGCATTTCTACGACAGCGAAGTGGAGGCTCTGGACTTCACCAATCCGGAGGCGGCGGCAGATGCCATCAATGCCTGGGCCGCCAATATCACACAGGGCAGGCTGCAGCAACTGGTTGCCCCGGACAATGTGCGCAGCAGCGTCATGCTGCTGACCAATCTGATCTACTTCAATGGCCTGTGGCGCCGCCAGTTCGCCACCACCTTCCAGGGACCCTTCTTCCGCAGCAAGGACGATCAGTCGCGGGCCGAGTACATGGAGCAGACCGACTACTTCTACTACACCAACTCGGACAAGCTGAAGGCACAGATCCTGCGGCTGCCCTACAAGGGCAAGAACTCCCTGTTCGTCCTGCTGCCCTATGCTCTGGATGGCATCCATGATCTGGTCAAGAATCTGGAGAACGACGAGCTCAAGGGCGCCCAGTGGGCCATGGAGGAGGTGAAAGTGAAGGTGACGCTGCCCAAGTTCCATTTTGACTACCAGCAGAACCTCAAGGAGACTCTGCGCAGTCTGGGCGTACGGGAAATCTTCGAGGATAGCGCCTCCCTGCCGGGATTGACCCGCGGAGCCGATGTGGCCGGCAAGGTGAAGGTGTCCAACATCCTGCAGAAGGCCGGAATCAATGTGAACGAAAAGGGAACGGAGGCGTATGCCGCTACGGTTGTGGAGATCGAGAACAAATTCGGCGGCAGCACCACCATCGAGGAATTCAACGTGAACCGGCCGTTTGTGTTCTTCATCGAGGAGGAGTCCACCGGGAACATACTGTTTGCCGGAAAAGTCCACACTCCCACCACCACCCAGAACTAAGCCTAAACAGGCGGTTTTATCTTTAAATATGCAATAAAATTACAAACAAATCAGACTTGATGCTCCCGCTTTTTAAATTAATCGAAAGTTATGAATGTCGGTGTTTTTGAATATTAAACTGGATAGCTTTCTTTCCGGTTTCTGTTACCTCATATGGCAACACATCCCCCTGAATCTTCAAAGAGAACCTAAGCTATGCTCTTGACCCTCTTTCAGTAATCGTGCGTGGCGATGAAGTCCCCCTCGCCGAGCTCCCGTCTACATATAATCCACAACATTCCGCTGGCTGATAAAGCTGGGATGGGACTGTCGTTAAATGTTTGTTTTTATATTTTATGCCCCGCCTCAGGCGTACCTTGAACAATTGAAAGCAAGAGCCAGCAATCAAGCGAGAGATGCAAAATACCTTCCGACTCTGGGAATGTCCCACGTACGTAACACTAGCAATATCCAAAGGGGGAGATGAGATCGATGGGTAATCGCTTGTCAACGGCAAATAGAACCCATGACTCAGGGGTCTGAGATGTTGTTCAGCAGGAAAATCTAAAGTTTGCTCAGCCATTTAAGTTTTGCCTATGTTTTGAGCAAACAAAGAAGTTAACTAAGCTTGGGAATTTTTGGAGAGCCTAGGAACTAGTAGTAAATAATACACTTGGGCTATAAAAAAAGCAAATTTTAAATATAGAAATGTTCTTATAGTCCCTCTAAATGTCCTACGTTTATTATTGCCTTAACTTATCTTTCTTATATGATACTACATCCAACGCATCCTTGAAGAGCCGTTCAAGTATCCGTCTGAATCAACAGATGACGTGCAAACAAAGTGGGCAATGTTTGCAATCATAAAAACCAGTTTACAAATAATACGAGAAAGTGCACACTAAAGTGCATATTTGCTCTGCTTTCGAGAAATGAGACTGATTTGACTGACTGACTCAGACCGAAGATAAATACTAAGAAAAGAGGGCATAAGCTTATTATTAATTATAGCATTGCCCTAAATGTTTGAAACGCAGTAAAAAGTACACTTTATGAGACAGTTAGATAGGAATACATTGTAAGAAAAAATTATGCGACTGCAGGGACTGATAATTATAATTGGTTTAGTTCTAAGTCTTATCTAAAAAGATTTTTTAAACTAAATTCTTGAGAGACTTACCTCCGCCATTGGGCAACATTGCTGCTATAGCTGATTGTGCCTGCATTTGAGACTTGCTGAAATTATTGCCTCCGCCGGAGTTGTTCTGATGGCGCATATGGGATGGTAGAGTCTGCTGAGGCTGTTGTGGCTGCGACTGTTGGTAATGCTGTTTATATTGCGTTGGAAAGTGCGGCTGGCTGGGTTCGAAGGATGAAAAATTTTGATTTTCAGAGAAACGTCGATTGTTCGAATGAGATTGCTGCTGTTGCTGCTGTCCGTTCATCAGGTGGCCAGTAGCTTGGTTATTGCCACCGCCCGAGATCAAGGCTTGGAGCAGAGCATTTGTGCCGGCATCCTGACGACCATGGCGTTGTTGTCCCCGGTTCAGGTGTTGTTGCTTGGCCCCGCCGTTCATTAACTTCGTGGTCTGCTCCTCCATCTTGCGCTTCATCACTGCATTTCGCATTATGACATTGGCATGGGCTTGCAAGTCTTCCTGAGACAATTGCTGCGGCGCCTGTGACTGTGGATTAAGCTGCGGCTGCTGTCTGGCGGCCAGTGTCTGCTGCACAATGGCCAGGTTGTGAAGATTCTGCAGCTGACTTGCAATAACCGTGCTCGAGAGCATGTCCAGCTGCTGTTTGTGCTGCTGCTGCTGCTGCTGGGTGTTGGTGAACTGCAGCACAGCCGTGATTGCCTCGCGATCCATGTCGGACAAGCGGGGATTGGCCAACTGCACCAGTAGTCCATGCTTGGATATTTCCCCTGGGCGAAAGAATAAAAAAGGATTTATCAAGACAGTCCATTTTGAAAATAAGTGTCATATTTCAGCTAGAGCCCTGCATGAATAAATTCAATGAATTATTTTGAATTTATTGTTTTATATGAACGAGTTAATTAGAATTTTGAGTTTAATAGAATTGAATGAATTTGAATATTGAGTTTAATAGAATGAATGACATGAATTCCAAAATATTTCAAAAGACAATTTCTTTTGAAGAAGAAAGGGCCATAATTTTGGGATTAAATCTGCCTAAATTTTATTTACTAAGCAGTTAACATTGATTTGTTAATAATTTTCCTCTTTTTGTTCTCAAAAGAAAACACAAAAAAAAGCTGGCAAATTCAAAAAATTTATAAAAATGATTTATTTATTCATTCAATTAACTATTAGATTAACTATTAATTAGAAAAAAACATTCAATTTATTTCACATAGAATTAAATTAAACAAATCAGAAATTTCATGGCATACTATGATAAAACAAAAATTGAATGATTCACCCGACTAATTGTGGCACCAAATTTAACCCAAGAGTTAAGCCAATACAAAAAACGTATTCCCTATGTGGGATAAACATACAAAACAAATCACGCAGGGCGCTAATTTCAGCTTACCTTTAGTCAGACGAAGAAGGAGCAACTGGGTGTCGGCCCTTCCGAGGATCGCCTTCAGCTGCAGGCCAGCCAAAAAGGCAGTCTGTTGCTGCTGCTGCTGGATGATGACGTGCTGCTTCTGTTGCTGCTGCTGATACTGTTGTTGCTGCATAATGAAGTTAGAAATGGCATCGTAGCCCGCCACCTGCGGTTGTGGCTTAGCCGCCGAGAGTGAGCCAATAAGCTTTTGGAAGTTATCAGTCTGCTTGTTGGCCGACTCGCCAGCATTGGTCAGCGAGTTGCGACGCCATTTGGCCTCCAGTTGCTCCACCGACGGCATTTGGCTCATATGACCCGGCGGTTTGGGCTGCTCCGCATTGTTGCCATGACCCTGGTTCATGGCCTGCTTGAAAAACTCGTTCAGCGAAGACGACGAGCTGTTTCTCTCTCGGGCGAAGAACGACATAAATTTAGAATTACTCGAATTTGCATTTGATGGCTGCTGCATTTGCTGAGGCTGCGCTTGCGGCGGCTGCTGCTGCTGCTGCTGTTGATTTACATAATTGCTAGTCTCATAATTCGGCTGGCTTTGATTGAACTTATCAAACTGAAACGAACGAACACTGCCTGAGCGTTTGTCTTCCTTTAGCAGCTGATGATCGTTGGCCAAAACCTTGTTCATGTTCTCCACATTCTGGTTATTGTTGGTATCATGCTTTGGCATGAACTTATTGCGGCCCACGGGCTCCGGGTGCGTCCATTTGTACTTGTTTTGGTCCACCTGTAGGAAATAGGCAATAAAAATGGGTAGAAATAAGTATTTGTCCTGTAGTAAAATGAGTTTAGATCACACACACCTTATGTTTCGGTGCCTGCCTCTCCATTTCGCCCACTTCATGGTGATTGTGGCTCTCCTTGAGCATCTTTTCCTCTTCCTCATCAAAGCCGCACAACTCAATGGTATCCAATCTGGAGGTGGGTCCACAGCTGAACCACTCCGGCTCCTCGTTTTGGTTCCTGTAGCGCCGATGATGCCTATCCTCGGAGTCCCGAGACTTTGGTTTCGACACGACCAGGAATCCTGACATTACGCGCTTTACGTAGTTTTCGTTGGCACGGCTCAGATCTTCGCTAGACTCGTTCGACTGCATTGTCTCGTTCTCGGAGCGATTGTTAGACATCCCCATTACAGGAGTATTCGGTCGTCCTTGGGGCTGACTGCTGATCTCCCCGTTGTCGAAGAACTGCAGCACCGTCATGTTGCTGCTGTTCTGATGCTTCGGATTTGGATCCTCCATCTGGGATTTGCCATTGTGGTACGAATGGTAGTCGCCGTCGTTGTAACCCCACTTGGAATGATTGAAACGACCGCTTCCAATGCGTCTTTGGTTCACAATTGCCGGATCCTTCAAATTGTACATTAAAATTACAAAAGATTTATAGATTTTTTCAACAACAAATCGAAAAACATGAAGTTTTAACATTTGTTTATGGATATTTCAAACAACACATTGAAAAACATGAAGTTTTAACTTTTGTATATGGAAATTTCAAAGAGAAAATCTACTAGAAAGTGTTCTAAAACAATTGGATCAAATCACAAAACGAAGGAACAAATTTTTCAACACATATTTAAAATGGTTTTCGAGGTATCCTAAGAATGCTTAGTACAAAGTAAAAATGCAATATATATTAATGCACAGATTCAAGAACAATACTGTAATATTAGATATGGATTTCTGCCTTTTCAGTGTACTTATCAAAATCTTATAGATAGTATGTAACGGTTAAGATCATTCGTTTCTAAAGTAAGTTTTATTTAAAATCATGAATTTCTCATATAGGTTAATTTAGAAGTTTATTCCTAGAAAACTGGAATGGCTAAAACATTTTACGAACAAAAAAAACTTTAAAAGTAAACTGACAGTTAAATAAATTCAAAAAATAAGCATCTCTATGGGCTTCCTATCGACCCCTTCCCATCTCTAAGGGCCAGCGAAGTAGTTCGCACACCCACAGACGCACTCTCATCACCTACACAGCCATATCAGCATGCCCAGCTGAGTGGGAGATAAAGCTTATAAAGAATAAAACAAAAAAAAAACAGTTCTACTAAAAGGCGGAATGCGTGCTAAGCTAAACAGTGGTCGCCGGCAGAGCGAGCGAGAGAAAAGAGCGGGAGTGGAGCGAAAAGAGCGGAATGCAAGTGGAAAATCACACATTTGGCACTGCGAGTACGAGTGAGCACTGGAATCGGAATCGGAATCCGATTCGGATTCGGAATCAGAATAGCAATAGGGAATAGGAATAGGAATAGCAATACCCCAATAGCAACCGTAATCGCAACGCGGCCGGTTGACATTGCGCTTGTCCCGTGAATTTGGTCGAATGCGGAGCAGCGATTATAACTGTAAACAGTAGTCATAATCCGATCGGAGTGATACGAGCGCCAGACTTTCGACACGATGCAGTTTGTGGCTACAGGTAGGTGGAAAGAAAACAAAAGATTGTATTACTTAGGGTTTCCAAGCAACTATACCTATGTTTACCAGAATTCTGCTCTACAAGTGGTTCAAAATCAATAGATTCAACTTTGTATTTGAAAAAAAATCTATAATTTTAAAAACCTCTTAAAAAAATATTAAATTATTGTCATTCCTTAGAACAGAGGCTACAGGTAGGTGGAAGGAAAACTAAAGATTGTATTACTAAGGGTTTTCAAGCAACTATACCTATGTTTACCAGAATACTGCTCTACAAGTGGTTCAAAATCAATAGATTATACTTTGTATTTAAAAAAAATTCTATAATTTTATAAACCCCTGCCAATAATATTAAATTATTGTATTGTATTACTAAGGGTTTCCAAGCAACTATACCTATGTTTACCAGAATAATGCTCTACAAGTGGTTCAAAATCAATAGATTAAACTTTGTATTTTAAAAAAAATCTATAATTTTATAAACCCATGCAAATAATATTAAATTATTGTATTGTATTACTAAGGGTTTCCAAGCAACTATAGCTATGTTTACCAAAAAACTGACCAACAAGTGGCTCAAAATCAATAGAAAAAATTTTTTAGTAAAAAAAAAATTCTAATATTAAATTATTTACATCCCTTAGAACACCCGCACCGGCGACTGAATCCCTTGACCGGACAATGGGTCCTGGTGTGCCCGCATCGCACCCAACGCCCCTGGTCGGGTCAGCAGGAGAAGGCGCAGAAGAACGAGCTGCCCGAGTTCGATCCCACCAATCCCCTTTGCCCCGGAGTCACACGCCCCAATGGAATTGTACATTGTAACGATCCCATATACCAAGCCCCATTCTAATATCTATCTATCTAGGAAACTCCTGCCTACGAGAGCACCTATGTGTTCGAGAACGACTTTCCGGCCCTGGTGGAGGTGGTGCCCGTGCCGCCCAACAGCGATGATCCCCTGTTCCAAATAGCGCCCGCCCGTGGCAACTGCCGGGTGATGTGCTTCCATCCCAAATCGAATCTCACCTTGCCCACGATGAGTGCAGCGGAAATTGTCGTTGTTATCGACGAGTAAGTGTTGAGGATTTATGGCACCACCCATGATAAAAACAATTTTTATCTCACCGCCGCCTATCTAGGTGGATCAGCCAGTTCAACGAGCTGAGCGCCAAGTACGCCTGGGTGCAGATATTCGAGAACAAGGGCGCCGCCATGGGCTGCTCCAATCCCCATCCGCACTGCCAGATCTGGTCGTGCTCGTTTCTGCCCACGGAACCGCAACTGAAGCAGGAACGTCTGCGTGCCTACTATGCTACGAATGAGCGACCCATGCTGGCCGACTATGTGGAGCGGGAGCTGCAGCGCCAGGAGCGCATTGTCATCGAGAATCCCGACTGGCTGGTGGTGGTACCCTTCTGGGCCACCTGGCCCTTCGAAACTATGCTAATCTCGCGCAACAACAACAAGCGAATCAATGATTTGACGCTGCAACAGCGAAAGAATCTGGCCGTGACCATGAAGGAGCTGACCACCAAATACGACAACCTATTCCAGTGCTCGTTTCCCTACTCAATGGGCTGGCACGGAGCACCAACTGGACCGGAGCATGCCCACGCATCGAGTGCCCACTGGACTCTACATGCCATCTACTATCCACCCCTGCTCCGTTCGGCCACCGTGCGCAAGTTTATGGTGGGATTCGAGCTACTGGCCATGGCCCAGCGAGATTTGACCCCCGAGCAGGCGGCCCAACGATTGCGGGAGGTCGATGGAAAGTGCCATTACCTGGAGAAGTGATTTCGCTTAGGTTAACTCTCTATATCATCAATCATTCGTTTCGATTAAATAAAGGAAAACAATCAAATACGATGGCTTTTGAGGATCGACTGCAGTAATTACTCAATACCTATTCGCAATCAGTTGTACAAATATTCTAGAATAATGCTAGTCAAATAGTGATGGTCTAGCAAATGATTAGCATGATTGCCAAAGACCCCTGGAGGTCATGCATTGCAATCATTGATTTATCAGATAAGCCCAGGAATAACGCGACTTTGTGTTACCTAATACACAGTTGCAGTAAAAACAATAGCTAGACGGGTGATAATATTCTACCTGATCGTTTAATTCAACTAAGCAGTTGGGATTATAAAGATGAATAACTTTTGAAAATGTTAAATTTAATTAAATTTTTTGTAGTACTTGCAAAATATTTAAAGCAGTGACCGTAATTATTATCAGTGATATAATAAAAATCAATATTGATTTTTTTGATTTTAATTTTTATAAATTTTACTCCATTATGGAATTACTAGTTTAGAATTATTATCAGTGATATAATAAAAATCAATATTGATTTTTTTGATTTTGATTTTTATAAATTTTACTCCATTATGGAATTACTAGTTAAGTTTTTTTGCAATATATATATTTGATCGATATTTTTTTCGCTCACAATTATAATAATTAATCTTTGAGTGATTGAAAAAAACTCAACAAGTAAATTTTAAAATGGAGTAAAATGTATAAAAATCAAGAATTAAAACAAAATTGCGGATATAGATAGATAATAAAATCCAAGTGGATGATTTTGTTTTTTGAAAAATACATCGATAATCATTATTTACGGTCCCTGATTTAGAGTTTTAATTTCAATAGAAAATTGTAAATATATAAAATATATAAAAATAAAGAAGGGATCGGAAGATATAAAGAAAAACTCAAAAACTTCGCAAAAAACTCCTCTTAATACAATAAACTAAGAAACTACTTTAATATATTTGATGAAGAAAGGAATCCTCACCTGGAACTCTGTTTGCGGCTGCGGAGGTTGGCTCTGGATGATGGACTCGTCGCTGATCAACTGCGGCTTGTTCTTGTTCTTGTAGAACGCAGGCATGCACTCATTGTTGTTCGTGTTTGAATTGTTGGTGCTGGAGCGAGCCCGGAACCTGGTGCCATCCGAGGTGCGCCAGAGATTCATGCGCCGGAGTCGGGCCTCCAATTCAATGTCATCGCAGGTGGCGATGCGTGGCATGACAAAGCTTTCCTTGGACCTGTGCATCAGGGCATTGAACATCCCGTTGCGAATGTCCAGCAGGTGGGAGCGGGTGTAGTTCTTGACCGGCTTGCTACTGACCATCGGAACGGCGGCGTTGGGGCGAACAGCTTTCGGAGCACGCAGACTTCCCGGCTTGTGGATTCCACTGCTAGCCGGACGCTTTTGCTGCGCCGGCATTGGATCCTTGCTGGCCTGCTGCTTCTTCGGCGAGTCGTGCTCGAGGTCACAGCTAACGGCCGTGCAGGACAACATGCTGGTGGGCTGAGTGTAAGGGGTAGATGCCCGGGCAGAGAGCACCTGCAGTGCTAGGCCCTCATCCTCGTGCGGCTGCTTCGAGGATCCATGCATCGGTATGGCTTCACGGGATATTGCTGCAAGGACTCGATTCTGCTTGGCCAGCAGTTGTATGATCTTAAAATGCCTCTCCAGCTGCAGAATCACCTCCGGTTTCTTGGCCTTACAGTGCAGGACCAAAGCTCTGGAGGTCGTCAAGGCCTTCAGCGGACTGTCGCATATTGTTTCCGGCCCTGAACGCCGCGGTAACAATTCCATGGCCTCCACCTTCTTGTTTTTCATGGAACGGGAAGACTGTTTACCAAAATAAAAACAACATTTAAAAAATGTCATGATGAATGAGTATCTATCTGCCTGTCTGTATTCTTTGAAAAATTAATGTGGAATGTAACTATCTCAATAACTAAATATATGACATGTAATTCAGACCTTTGTTGATTTTTACTTTAGAAGTTTGTAGTTAAATTTTGTAGTAAAATCTCTTGGACTTAGACATTTACAAAAACGCTTTTTCAAAAAATTTCTTTACTTTTTACTTTAATATAACTGAAAAATATGAAACTGATCGTCAACAAAAATAAATGTAAAAATTTATATGTAAAGCCAAAACAATTATTATTTTAAGTAAAACCTACTTTAAAATACTTTTTTAAAGGATAAAACACGTTAAATTAAAGAAAATGATATAGTTACTAATCGATAATAGTTATAAGATTTTAGACACTGAAAAAATGTTTATGCTTGTTACTTTGATATAACTGAGAGATATGAAACTGATTGTCATAAAGAAGAAATTTAGCTTGAATATAAAGCCAAATTAATTTATATTTTAAGTAAAACCTACTTTAGAATACTTTTTAAAAGGATAAAACATGTAAAATTAAATAAAATGATATAGTTGCTAATCGATAATAGTTATACGATTTATACGACTTAGACACTTTGTACCTTAGATCTTATTATAATATTTAATTGTTCACTATATAATTTTAGCGAAAACCTTGCGAGATTTTCAATGAATATTTGAAAAAATGTTTTACGTAATATAAAATATAAAATGTTCACAATATATGAATGTTTCAAAATCAACCAATTTATACAATTTTCAAAAGCTTTGTGTTTTATAAATAGATTTTACATACATAGCTATTTATTATCTATCGCTTAAATACAATATTCAAAGCCAACTCACTTCGGGGCTGGACTTTTGCATCCGCTTGTTGGCCTCCAGCTTGGTGATGGCCTTCTCCAGGGCGTCCTTCAGCTTGAAGGCGGGCAGCTTGAGGTAGCCCAGTCCGGTGGCCAGGAATGCGTTGGCCGGCAGCGGGGGCGGTGGGGGCGGAGCACAGGGATCCTCCCACTTCTCGGAGTTGGCCTCGTCGTCTTCGTGCTCCGAATGAGCCGTCGGCGAGGTGGACTTGGATGCCGGAGGGGCCTGAACCGGAGTTGGGGGCGGCGGCGGGGGCGGGTACTCGAAATGGGCCACAACACTGGGGGTCAGCGCCTCCTCCGGCAGATCCACGGCGAGCTGATCGCTTTCACCGGCATTCGCATTGGTTGCAATTTTCAGGGCGCCAGCGCCATTTTCTTGCTCAGCTTCGGCCATTTGCATTGCGCTTTGGCTGCGTAAGTTGCCATTCAATTCGATCGCCTCCTCAGTCAAAGGGTCCATACTCACGTTAATAAATGGTTTTTTGATTAAAAATTAAAACGAACACTTTTGATGGGTCGAAAATTCAAACTATGCAAAAAAGGAACGAAATCACGTTTAACACAAGTTCGATCATAAAATCCGTTATTCGGTTTCGGAGCGATGAGTAAGCAGGACAGGAACAGGAGAAAATACCGAAAAAATACCAGGGCGAATGGTGGGGAGAGGGAAAGAGATCAATGATCAGTGTTGTTAATAGATCAAATGCAACTTTTATCTTAAAAGTTCGCTAAAATATAAAAATAGTTAAATTATTGGAAAATAACGACCTCTTCGAAAATATTTGGAAATATTTCTCCCCTCTAAAATATATTATTTAATTTTTAACAGAATATTTAATAGAATTTTTAATAGAATATATGTAAGAACAATAACTTCCTGATAATTTTCAAGATAATTCTTGACAATTCTACCGCTCTACAAGTTTACTCTTACTTACTTAGTCAAAAAATTCACTTATAAAATTCTAGTTTTATTTTAAAAACTAATTTTAAAACCAATACAAAAACGTACATACATAAGCAAGGTTGCCAACCACTTGTTTTCAATACCCCTAATGAAAATCCAAGTTTCTCACCTTTTTAATCGTGGTATATTCGCAGTATTTTTTAGTAATTATCAGTATTTTTTGCAGAGCCCGATAGTCCAAGTGGCGTCATTAGTCCAACCTATCGATACACTTCTTCTTTATAAATATTGGGCAGATTATGTTAAAATAGTTTACTATTCAGATCTCCGTCTATATTCTCCACGATCAAAACAGTAAATAATTAACATATTAATACAAAATGTACAAGACATTTTTAAAACGAAAAACATCGATGACAAAGTTCAACCATCGATATTTCCAAATTGTATAAAAATCATCGATGTGTCCATCGATGTTTCTTCACCTCTACAAGCCAGGCGAAAAAACGGAAGAAAAGTGAGGAAATAATTAGCGTGCCATCGATTATATAGTTGGTACTTACTCGAAGTACCCGCGACCTAATCTTGCCAAGCGGATGGCTGCCTAAGGTGAGCCCGCCGAGCGTTAGTTAACCCCAGCGGGGTAAACAAATCGCAACCTAACCTCTCTTTTCTCCGCAGAGACGAGGAACTTTAGGAAAAGGTAACACACACAGAAAAGAAAAGACCCCAAAATGACCCAATATCTGCCGCCGAATCTGCTGGCGCTGTTCGCGGCCCGGGATCCCATACCGTTCATGCCGCCGGTGGACAAGCTGCCGCACGAGAAGAAGTCGCGCGGCTACCTGGGAGTGGCCAAGTTCATGGCCGATTTCGAGGACCCCAAGGACACGCCGCTGCCGAAAACGGTGGAGACGCGCCAGGAGCGGTTGGAGCGGCGGCGGCGCGAGAAGGCCGAGCAGGTGGCCTACAAGCTGGAGCGCGAGATAGCCCTGTGGGATCCGACCGAGATCAAGAACGCCACCGAGGATCCCTTCCGCACGCTCTTCATTGCCCGCATCAACTACGACACCTCCGAGTCGAAGCTGCGCCGCGAGTTCGAGTTCTACGGGCCCATCAAGAAGATCGTCCTGATCCACGACCAGGAGTCAGGTAAACCCAAGGGCTACGCCTTCATCGAGTACGAGCACGAGCGGGACATGCATGCCGCCTACAAGCACGCCGACGGTAAGAAGATCGACAGCAAGCGCGTCCTGGTGGACGTGGAGCGGGCCCGCACCGTCAAGGGCTGGCTGCCGCGTCGCCTGGGCGGCGGTCTGGGCGGCACGCGTCGCGGCGGCAACGATGTGAACATCAAGCACTCCGGCCGCGAGGACAACGAGCGGGAGCGCGAGCGCTACCGTCTGGAGCGGGAGCGCGAGGATCGCGAGGGGCCAGCACGAGGTGGAGGTGGTGGCTCCAATGGCCTGGATGCCCGGTCTGGACGCGGTGGTTTCGGCGCGGAGCGGCGACGCTCACGCTCCAGGGAACGACGCGACCGGGAGAGAGATCGCGGACGTGGCGCCGCTCTGGCCAGCAGCGGTCGCTCGCGCAGCCGTTCCCGCGAGCGGCGAAAACGACGAGCGGGCAGCCGGGAGCGGTACGACGAGTTCGACCGCCGCGATCGGCGCGACAGGGAGCGCGAACGGGATCGCGATCGGGAGCGCGAGAAGAAGAAGAAGCGCTCCAAGTCGCGCGAACGCGAATCCTCCAGGGAGCGGCGCGAACGGAAGCGCGAGCGAAGGGATCGCGAACGCGGCGGCACCGGATCATCCGCCGGCGGCGGTGGCGAAATCAAGGAGCGCAAGCCCGACTTCCGCGACATGGACGTCATCAAGATCAAGGAGGAGCCCATCGACGATGGCTACCCGACATTCGACTACCAGAATGCGACCATCAAGCGGGAGGTGGAGGACGAGAACGAGGAGAAGTATCGGCCGCCGCCAGCGCATCACAATATGTTTAGTGTGCCGCCGCCGCCCATTTTGGGTCGCAGCTCGGGCAATGCGAATCCCAATCCCGACAACGGACAGCAGAGCTCCGGCGACCAGAGCTGGTGGCGTCAGTAGAAACGAGAGGAGGAAGCTTTCAAGGTTAATAGTGGTAGAATTCAGCCGTCTGTCTCGGTCGCAACTATTTATTCATTCGACTCGAGGCACTGCAATCGTGGAGTTATCCATTTTACACAGAAAAACTTTTAAGGTACCGCTTGGAGGAGAAGATTATATACAAACCCAGACCGCTAAACGCAGATGCCACTAATTTGTGCGTAGCTTAAATCATTTAAATTTATAAGTAACTCTTAACAAATGAATATGAAAGAAAAGTAAGTAAAATAAAGCTAGCCCTACATGTGTTTGTTTCCCCACCTTTGGTAAGGGGGTTAAAGGGAATACGGAGATCGGAGATGGCGAATATGGTATTATCCCTTGGTGGTTCCTGGGATTTTCTTACTCACCTAGCTCTTAAGCTCTCAAAAAAAAAAAAACGCAACTTGAACACAAACCCTTGCACTAACCCGTGCCTTTCTTTTCTCTGTTTCTTGCAGTTTTCAATCAATTGAAAATCTGACTCTGACTAGCGTGCAAGCAAAAGCAAAAGCATAAGTATTCAATCGAACAGAAATCCAAAACGTTAATTAGTTCCGCAAGAATTCGTAGCCAAAGCCAAAGCCCAAGTCCAATATTCCAAGCCCACATCAGGTAATTTGGTCTACGCACAAACCTCACTAATCCATGCGTCTACCGTTCTAGGACCGCTCTAGAATCGAGACAGCTACCGATATTTTCCTCTGGGTTGCCTGTTGTGTGGTGTGTAAGTTCCATTGAGTCGGGCTAAATTCTTAAGACCTTCTGAGTAACAAAAAACCAGGCTATGTAAGTTTCCCCCGGTAAGAAGTGCTCGAGCTTTCCTCTGTTTGGTACACATTGCGAACTGCTCTGTTGGGTCTGTGGCAATCTACTTATCCATTACGTCTGTAACCAATTTACCATTTCGATCTTTTCATGTACGTTGAGCTGATTGTTATCGTACTGAAGAGGAACAGGCGGCGGAAACTCGCATAGAAAAGAAAACTCCACAAAGGTTTGCTTTTGGTAACTGGTAATGACTGGCTAGGTGAGGGGTTTTGGAACTATTTTGACCCTTTTTTGGGTTGCGGACACTGACTAAATTGTGGGGGCGACATTTATTTTTTTGTATTGTTTGGCAGACAGGACCCACGCAATTAACTTGGTGTATCTTGGACTTATGGGGGAAAAACAATCGTGTAGTTAGGCACCTTTTAAATTAAAAAATAAAATAAAGGAAATAGGTCAAGCGTTGATGTCACATTAAGATTTTATCAACTAATAAACAGCCTTTTTCGTCTTGAAAAACATAAAACTTGTTTTATTTTTACCTGTTTATGTATTTTACCTGTTTAGATTTTAATCTAATAGGTATAAGTGCTTATATGTAAGCTTTCTGAAGTTAAAAAACTAAGAATTTATCAAATAACTCTCCTTACTCAAAAATAGAAAAAATTAAAAAAAGAAAACCATCGATTTCAAAATCAAAAAAATTAACCGCCCAAATATATATATACCAACTAGGTTAGAGATGGGTGGGTCACTCGCGATAGTATCGATTTATCGGATATTTATGCTACCAATTTGTTGGCACGGCACTGTAATGTATGTATATCTTTCCGTCTCTGTCTAGCACACATATTTCTTACTGAACTTGTTCGATTTTAAAAAATCGGACCAGTATTGTATTCTAGTAAATAAAAAAAGTTATGTAGCCCTGATATATGGTCATTTATATCAGTAATGTTACAAAAAAATCTTCCAGCCAACGGGGTTTTGGTTGCAAAAAATGTATAAACAACGCAAGTCACTTACAAGTGTCCAATGCGGAGTTTATTAGTGATCACTGATCAGTTATCATGTTTTTCTGGTGAACCCTCCAATTAGGTAGAAACCCATATTAAAAAAAACCAAATTTTTTCCTTAACATATTACATTTAAAACACACATTTTAAGAATCTGATTTAATTAGTAGGTAAAGGAATATTTAATTTTTTTTATAAACCGTGACGGAGAAAACAGTGACATTAGTCGATGGGTGCCGGAAAACATCGATAACGGGACACATCGATAGCGGCGCGTCAACATCGAGTTTGGTGCCACCTCTGATTTTTTTTGGCGTGTAGCTGTAGCAGAAAGCAAAAGGAAGCCGCTTGTGGAAAATTTCAGGCATCGGCTAGCATCTAACTACCAGAGAATTAGGTAAATTTTCGCATCATTTCGCGTTTGGCGGCTGCCCGGCGGCCCTGTGAACACTCTACGCACACGGTTTACTAATTTTCGCGTGTTTATTTGCGGCATTTTGTCTCGTTTCTCGTACAGCACGCCCGGCATTCGACGCACCGCAAAAAAAACTTCTTTGACCACTCAGCAGCAGCGACGAGAAACGACGAAAGAAAAAAATCAACATGTCTGACGAAAAGAAAGGCGGCGAAACCGAGCACATCAACTTGAAGGTCCTGGGCCAGGACAACGCCGTTGTCCAGTTCAAGATCAAGAAGCACACACCCTTGCGCAAGCTGATGAACGCCTACTGCGACCGGGCCGGACTCTCCATGCAGGTGGTGCGCTTCCGCTTCGACGGACAGCCCATCAACGAGAACGACACTCCGACCTCGCTGGAGATGGAGGAGGGCGACACCATCGAGGTCTACCAGCAGCAGACCGGCGGCGCTCTTTAAAATTACTTAGTTAAGCTAGATACCCTCAAACCTTTATAACTAACAAACAAACGAGAAAATACAAAAAGAATCAACAACTATACACAATATGAAGAAGAAACCAACCAAACAGGCAGTAAGAAGCAGTAATTGAAACAAGAGTGCGTTTAGTACAACTGTAGATTGAGTCTGTATGGGAAACACGACCATAAAAACAAAGAAAAACTATTGCAGACAACAAAAATTATAAATAAAGCATTTTATAAACTATATCTAGAGGCTGTTTCATTGCCTGGCCGATCGGGGCTTGTGTTCTTTTTTTCTACCCTGAAAAGCCGGCGCGAATTTCCCGCTTCATGTGTCCCTCTTCCGCACACATACGCACATGCATTTGCATCGCACGCGTGTGTGTGTGCGAGCAGGACTGGGTTGAGTGCGCGTGTGTGCGTGCAATTTGGTATACATACACAGCGGGGCTCAGGGAATTTGCGGGAAAAGTACATCGTATGTACACCGGCGAATCTGCAGAGTCTGGGAAAACATAACCTCAATGCTCGAATATTGTCAATGACGTCATTTTATGGAACCTTCTGGGGGAAAAGGGCATAGAAATAGGTATAACCTCAAAATTGACAGCTCGTATCACGTACCATGTATGTTTGAGCCAGCTGAGACTACATGGCGATTGTGTATGTATACCATGAATGGGGCTGAGTTTTTAGAGGTACAGTTGGGTACAAAGAATTATGGTATACATACACACATTCTTACCCTTTCAAAAATATAAAAAAAAAATTTTCAGATGTGAAAGTAAAAAAAAAATTTTTTTTAAGTTTTCATAAATGAAATTGGTTTTTTAATTTTGATCTGCAAGTTCAGAAAGTTTTACTAAACTCCGCGAAAAATATTTGTTTTTTAAATATTGTACATTTTTGTTTGTTGATTTTAGTTATTGGTTCACCCTACTAATTTTCGAGATATTTATGTCAGGGAACGAAAATAACTGTTATTGTAAATTTTTCATACAAAAAAATCACGCACTTAGAAGGGTCCTAAACATTTTTTAAATACACCACAATTTTTATTAGCCATTGTAGTTTACAAATCCGTAATGATTTTTATTTTTTGATTTTTATAATAAAACTCAAAAAATAACTGTTATTTTTTGATTTTTATGAATAACAGTTATTCCCTTGACATTTTTGAAAAAATGAAATAATTAAAAAAAACATAATACCCGTGCTTTTTATAACTTACTCAAAATTTGTTAAAAAAGGCAACCGCGCATATTTTATACCTATATTTTTTTAAAATTTTGTTTACCCACAAAATCGCCATAAATCAAGTTTGAGTTTTATTTTGATCACGACGAATAACTGTTATTTGTCAACTTTTATTATAAAACTCAAAAAATAACAGTTATTCTTTGAGTTTTACTTTACAAATCAGAAAATAACTGTTAAAGTGTGATTTTTAAAATAAAACTTATAAAAGTTACGTCCCCTGATTTATGTATTAGTTCCTAAGGTCGACTTTATTTGACTCTAGATAAGCGCTAAATTATCAATTTATAAGGAAAATGTATAAAATGTAGTATAACATCCTATGGGATCCCTTTACAAATCAAAACCGCTATTGTAGTTACATGAGGTACCGCTTGTGTACTGATAGCAATTATGACATCTAATCATTTTCACCATAAGCCTTTTAATATTAGTCATGCTTATTGTGTATGTATCTATGTAACTTTATTTGTAAACTCCAAATGAAATGGCATAAATTATAAAGTTATGAAATCTTAACGAAACATTAACATTCTGTCATGTTTATTTGCAACAACGATTAAAATATGTACACATTGAGCTTTAAAAAGAGTGTGAAAGGCACCGATTCCCGCTTAAGAATAATTAAAAACAGAACCCTAGGTTAGACCCACTCCTTGGGATTCTTCAGCACCTTCATCAGCTTGCCCTCCTCGGACTTGGCCGTGGGTTCGTGCATGTACTCCCAGCGGGCGTGCAGGGGCAGGGACATCAGGATGCTCTCGTACCGCGCTCCGGGCGTATAGAGACCAAACTTGGTGCCGCGATCGTAGATCAGGTTGAACTCCACGTAGCGTCCGCGGCGGAGAAGCTGCCACTGTCGCTCGTTATTGCCGTACTCCCGGTTCTTGTGCTTCCGCACCAGCGGCATGTAGGAGGGAATCACAGCCTTGGCGCAGCTGGACACAAAGTTGAAGGCCGCCTCCTCGTTGGGCGTATCGATGTCGTCGAAAAAGATGCCGCCGATGCCGCGGCTCTCGTTGCGGTGCTTGATGCGGAAGTAGTCATCGCACCACTTCTTAAAGCGCGGATAGTAGGTAGCATCATGCTCGTCGCAGGCGGACTTCAAAGTCTGGTGGAAGTGGCTGGCGTCCTTCTCGCAGAGGTAATAGGGCGTCAGATCCGTGCCGCCGCCGAACCACCACTGCTTCTCGCCCTTGGCCGTCTCCACCTCGAAGTAGCGGTAGTTGAAGTGGATGGTCGGGACATGGGGATTCCGCGGATGGATCACGGCACTTACGCCGCTGGCGAAGAAGGGCAGGGCGGCGCCCTCTTTCAGGTTCTTGCCGCGCGCCCGCATCTGCTGCACTGCAGCCGGTGGCAGGGAGCCGGTGACCACGGATATATTCACGCCCGCCTTCTCGAAGACATCGCCGTCCTGCAGGACGCACGTGATGCCGCCACCGCCCTCGGAGCGCTCCCAGCGGTCCACCTTGAACTTCTGGCCGCAATTCTCCTCCGCCTCCAGGGCGCGACAGAATTCCGCCTGGATCTCCATGATCAGCAGCTCCATGCGATGGCGCATGTTGTCCTTGTCCTCCAGCAGGGCCTTCGAGTCCGTAATGGGCTCGGCCATGAACCGTGAGGTGTCCAACTGCGGCCCCTTGACCTTTGGGTTGACCGCCTCGGCGGAATGTGCGTACGTGACCGCCGAAAAGCTGGCCAGGCCCAGTCCGGTGCCGAGAAGAAAGCCCCTAACATGCTGGCCCCTCGTCCGGCGGATCAGTTGGAAGGTGCCCAGCGATACCAGGGATATCGTGTGACGCAGTGCGTTCATTTTGTGCTGTCGGCTACTTTAAATTTTCAAACGTAATTCAAGTACTTTCCCCGAACGCACTATGTTTGTTATCTTTCACACCGGCATAATTTGGAAATTGCATAGCCTCTAGTGTGACCGTAGAGGCCTTTTAACCTACAAAATATACCAAAAGGAGGAGTTAAATTTTTTTAAATTTTAATTAGGGGGATTCCCTAAACTTTTGAATTGCTGAATTGTTGAATTTTGGTCAGCTGTTAATCAGCTGTTCCATACAAAGTCAACTTTCAGAAATTTCAGCAATTCAACAGCCTCGAGGCTCTGAAAATTTTGTTGAATTGCTGAAAAACCAGAGTTGTCACCTTTTTTTAAAAGTCGTGGCAACTCTGTAACATTTTAGTATCACCAGTACGCATTATTTATTTTAAAATCAACTTAGAAAGCATATTTGTGGTTCTTTTTACCTTGGTAACACTTTTAGACAGTTACTAGCAATAATAAATCAAATTTTACATGCTTTAAGTTCCGTGAAATTTTTCAACAAATAACAGCTGTTTGAAAATTCAACAGGAACCATTTTGGGTCGTTCCCTTAATTGCTGAAATTTTTTGTTGAATTTTCAACAATTCAGCAATTCAACAGTTTAGGGAATCCCCCTATTATTAAGCTTAGAATCTACAAGTATTTAAATTTTTAAATCATTTTTGAATATTAAATAATTTAGTTATTTACTCTAGTAATAATGTTTCTTAATTGAGTTTCTTAAATGTCGTTATGAATATTCATATATAAATATCTTCGTATTTAAAATGGACCTACGCCAAATAAAAATTTTTCATTGTCGAATATCAAAGGAATACCCCACTGAAAAAACGGGCACTCTGCTTAGTTTGAAAAAAACGTCTGCCAAGGCGCGTCGATCGCGATAAATGAGCGTGTTGTGAAGAGTTCGATCGAGAAATAGTGTGTGCGTAAAAATTAAAGAATTCGTTGAGATTAAATAAAGTGCGACGTCGAAATCATCGCCAGAAGGTAGGTGATTAAGTGGACCAAACTCTAAACGCTTTGAACTATAGGCAATTCGTGCAAATTGTGCAAATATTCATACATATTTACTGAAGTTGTGCACCCAGGACACACGCACACACACGCGATCTGGGGCCTTAAAGAGAGAAACGCTATGTCTGGGACTAAGAAACTCCAAAACACTGACGAATGGCGTCTGAAACTACGCCAGATTCTCATGACAGAGCGGTAAATACGACCTCCCAATCCTTCCCTTGGATATAGTGTTGCACTAGTGTTCGATTCCATAGACATTTAGACACCCTTTTTGAATGCCTGCATGTCAAAAATGATAGTAAAATAGTCCGAATATATAGCACTTAGAAGTTTTATTTGAGGAAACTCACAGTTTTAACTTTCAGCTTGCCGCCGAAACCCGTGAAGATGGACGAATCGAAGGGAATGCGTTTCAGTCTGGTGCTCGATGAGGATCTCAAGGGAAAAGCGAAGAAATTGCCGTCTCTCCATTCCGGCAGTCAAAAGACCTTCAGTCTCAGCGAGGATACCATGTACGAGGCAGCCTCCTTGGGGGATTTGGACGCCGGTGATGATAGCTTCAGTGCCTTCGAGCGAATGTGCGATAAGACGGGCTCCGATCCGGACAGCACTCTGTTTCAGTACCTGCACAGCGAGGAGCGAAGCCAGTTGATGTCCAGGACCAAGGATCGCAGCACCGATGATCAGAAGGAGATCGATGCACTGCGTCGCATGCTCGAGGCGGTGGGCACCGATGACGGCGACGACCTGCTGGAGAACGAGAGTCCCGTCAAGGGTGTGGAGTGCACCCAGTTGGAGGATGTTGAAGCACCCTCTCGTTTCTGGGACAACACTATGGCCGTGATCGATGAGTCTGCCTCTGGCTCAGGATTGGAGCAAAAGGCCAGGGTTTCGCCTGTTAAAATGGTGGGACTGCTCCGTCCCTCCACCATCATCGAGGACAATGAACTGGAGTCCGATGTTTCATCCCACATGAGCTTCCAAAGCGCTCGCACACTGAAGACGAATGCCTCCAGTTGTTACGAAACAGCCACGGATAGTTCTCTAAGCGGAACCCTCCTGAACGTCGATGATCGGTTCTATGCGGCAATTGCCAAGGCCAAGCCACCGGGAATGTCGAAGGGAGAAGAACTAGAGCTTCTGAGCGATCTTCATGGGAGTCTACGTGAGCTGGCTTCGCTTTCAAAGGAGAAAGAGCAGGTGGAAGAGGACGAGGAGCAGTTGGATGATGTAGAGGATACTATAATAGAGCTATCCTCCTCCGACGATGAGGAGGTGCAGCTTGTATCGGAGGTGAAACTAGAAGACACCTCTCGTGTGTCATCAGTCCACCCGAAAGATCAAAATCAACCGGAAAAGGCGGACGAGAGTCTTGAGAACAAGGAAAACTCGTTGCATTTCAATGATACCATGGAGGAGATGCAATACATGATGCAAAAGGGCATGGAGTACATGTCCGGTGGAGCTTCATCATCTGTTGCCGCCAAACCTAAAAGCCCAGTGCTGGCCAAACAGAATACGTTTGTGATTTCACCGAAGCAAAAGCCAAAATCGCCGGCTGTCTTGCAGCCATCTTTACCACTGCGCGTCTCAAACAAGCCGCAAACTGTGGCAGCTTCGCCCAGCAAGGGCAAACAGCCACCCAAGGTCGATCTCAGCATGGAGTGGACCAGGAAGAAGTTCTTTGGTGCCAACTCGGGCATTCCACAACGTCGCCAGATGCAGATAAAGCAGCCCTACGCCAACATTGTCAGTCCCATTCGCGCGTACACCCAGAAATCTGGCACTGCTCCGCTGATGTCCACCATCCGTCCAACCAACACTGATATGCTATCCACCCTGGCCATCTGTGAGCTGGAACAGGAGTCCCGTTTGTGTCAGCGGAAGCTGGATTTCACCGAGAAGGCGGGAACATTCAAGGCGGGTGAATCGGAGTGGCTAGGGATTAAAAGCATCGATTCCACTGCTCATCTGCTTCCCAAAAAGGCATACATATCCTCGGAGATAAAGCATGTAAGTTCAAATTAAAGCCCTGCATGAATGGATTTAATGAATTATTTTGAAACTTTTGTTTTATATGAATGAATTAATTAGAATTTAGAGTTTAAAAGAATTGAATAAATTTGACTTTTGAGGTTAGTAGAATTAAATAAATGAATGGCAAGAATTCCGAAATAATTCAAACGAAAATTTATTTAGAAGAAGAAAGGGCCATAATTTTGTGATTAAATCTGCCTGAATTTTATTTACTATGCAGTTAACATTGATTTGTTAAAAATTTTCAATTCTTGTTTCTTAAAGAAAGCACAAAAAGTTCATAAAAATTATTGATTCATTCATTCAATTCGAAATGATTTTGAAGAACATTCAATTTATTTCACATAGAATTGAATTAAACGAATCAGAAATTTCATCATCTAGTTCAAACTTAACTTTGATTTGCTGTCCAAGAATGATACTTATATTTATCTTTACAGGTGGTGGATGAGCGTACTCCTGTGCCCATGCCCAAGGTCCCGAAGATTCAGAAATATCTTAACTCGGCCGTGGAACCCACTGTCCTGCGTCACGATGGCAAAATGAAAATGGCCGGCGAGGCCACGCGCAATCCGTCCTCATCGCACATCCCACGTCGCGCCAATCAGAGCCTGGCTGATCTGTCGCTCGCCTCAGGGGATGTGTCCTTGTACACGATAAGAGATGCCCAGAAATTTTAAAGGCCCATTAAAAATAATCCCACTCTCTTAGCGTTAATATTGCAACGATAATAAATGTATTGTATAATTAGTGCTAGTAAATGCCTGCGTTTTCGTTTCGTAAAATCAGATTTCAGAATCAAGGAGAAAAGATTTCTGGTATTGATGAGTAGAACAAAGTTGCTAAATAAACTTTCTTTCTATCTATTGTAGTTTTTGAGAAAATCGCGCTTATATCTGAAAATAGCGGACGAACATGGGAAGACAAGTATCTAAGATTACCCATAACTTTTGATTGGACAGTCCGATTTTTACAAACTTTGCAGAGTTTATTAGGTATTGATGAGTAGAGCAAAGTTGCCCAATAAACTTTAGTAGTTTTTGAACATGGCTACGGACGAACATGGCAAGACAAGACTCCCAGAAATTTGGAAGGCCCTTAAAAAATATTCCACTCTCTTAGCGTTAATATTGCAACGATAATAAATGTATTGTATAATTAGTGCTAGTAAATGCCTTCGTTTTCGTTACGTAAAATCAGATATCAGATCACTGGTTTCGCGGCTGAGGACCCTTCCAGGCACGATTAACCTTGGACTCGGAGGGCCTGCCCAGTTCGTTGCAGATAAACCGGCCGACTTGGATGAGTTTTTCCAGGTTAACGCCTGTATCGAGGCCCATGCCGTGCAGCAAGTAGACCACATCCTCTGTGGCCGCATTGCCAGAGGCTCCCTTGGCATAGGGGCAACCGCCCAGGCCGGAAACCGAGGAGTCCACCACCCGAATGCCGTAGTCCAGGGAGACCAGTATGTTGCTCAGCGCCTGGCCGTAAGTGTCGTGGCAGTGCACAGCCAGATTTTTAGCCAGCACGACCTTGGTCACCTCGTCCAGCATACGGCGCATGGAGCCTGGCGTTCCCACGCCGATGGTGTCGCCCAGGGAGATCTCGTAGCAGCCCATTTCGAGCAGGGCCTCCACCACTTTGACCACGGCTCGCGGTGCAACGGCTCCTTCGTACGGGCAGCCGACCACGGTGGAAACATAGCCTCGGACACGCACTCCATGCTTTTCGGCTGCCTTTAGAACTGGCCTAAAGCGTTCGATGGCCTCTGCTGCCGTGCAGTTAACGTTCTTCTGGGAAAATGCATCCGAGGCGGCTCCAAAGACCGCCACTTCCTCGGCTCCAGCCTGCAGGGCACTCTCGAATCCCTTGAGATTCGGCGTGAGCACTGGATAGCTGATTCCGGCCACCTTGCGGATTCCTTTCAGCACCTCTGCGTTGTCGCCCATCTGAGGCACCCATTTGGGACTCACGAAACTGGTGGCCTCTATGGTCCGCAGTCCTGTTTGGGACAACTGATTGATCAGCTCGATTTTGGTGGCTGCCGGCAGCAGTTTGGGTTCGTTCTGGAGGCCATCCCGTGGTCCCACCTCCACAATTCGCACCTGGTTGCCGGCGTTTGTGACCGCCGTGCGCTGTTAGTTTGCAAAAGATTAGCTTCTAGTTAAGTGGGAATATTTTTCGTGGATTCACCTTTGTTGTTAGCCAAGCGAGTGAGCGAATTGGTGGAATTTTCATGGCTAAAAGTTGTAAATAAAAGTTACGTATGCCGCTTCTTCTTCCTCTCAGCGGATAACAGCTGATAACGATCCAAGATCGATTGCTTGCCAAATTTCGATAACGGCTTTGTTTTTATCGCGGTTCCATCTCTAAGAAAGGAGCGTTGTTAAAAAGGAATTTAAGGGGGATCAGGGCGTAAAGCAAAATAAACTAAAATTTAGTTAATAAAATTATATTAAAATAGTGGTAAAGAGGAGAAAATTAAATTTAAGGTATCTAATTTTACTTTATTTTTAAAATCTTATATTATAACCCCTTCCCCTACGCCCATGCCTCACATATGTTCGTAAATTCAGCCCTTTGATTGCTCACACTTTTGTAGCAAATTGTAAACAAAACTTGTACCTTAAACGGCGTTAACTATTTGCTAAGAAGATGGAAGCTGCTTCATCGCCGGACGAGGAAGATGTATTCCACTTTGAGACCGAGCACCTGGCCCTTCGTGGCAACGAGTGCTATGCCAACCTGTTGCGCACCATGGCCGTGCTGCAGGCCCAAAGGATCCGTGTCCATCAGCAAATCGACGAACTGGAGGCCACCAAGAAAGTCTACATGGATAATCCGCAACTGATGCTGGACAAGCTACAAAACAACGAGCCCTTGATAGCGGATAACTATATAACCACCGCTGTGCTGCCCGAGTTGCCCACATTGATCGGCAATGATGAAGGAAGTGCCCTCAATGAGACGCCGGCGGACGCTCCTTCGTGGACACATCCACCGGACGAGATGAAGGATAGGAGCAACGGCCGGTCGGAGAACTTCAATCGCCTGTGGACCAACGAGGAGCAGCGCCGCTTGGAGAAGCTGCTCATCCAGTATCCGCCGGAGGAAGTGGAAATGCGACGATTCGGCAAGATAGCCAAGGCCTTGGGCAACCGAACGGCCCAGCAGGTCTTTAGTCGCGTCCAGAAGTACTTCCAAAAGCTGCACGATGCCGGCATGCCAGTACCAGGTCGAATTCCCAAGCATCGACGTCCAGGATTAAGTAAACCGAAGGTGCACTTACGCAAGTCAACATTCTTTCCTGCCCAGAATATATCGCTGCAAATGCCGGAGGATGATTGCACATTGGATGACCTGCGGGTCCAATCGCCGGCCAACGAGATGCTCCTCATGCCGGCATCGTCGCAGGTCAAAATCGAGTACGTGGACGCCGATCTGGATGCGGAGGCCAAGCGGAAGCAGGAACTGCGCTTGAAACTTCTAACTGCCATTCAGGAAGAGAAACAACAGGGCGAGAATGGCTATGAGCCCGACCTGCTGGCTCCCAAGTGCGCCGAATGCGAGGAGGCGTCTGTGACCAGGACGCAATGGCGTTGCAACAGCTGCTATTGTCACCTAAATCTGTGCGGAGATTGCCTCGCTAGTCAGCTGATAGAAGAGCGCTTCGAGCATCTGAGCCATGAAGTTGTAGTGGACCAAGAGTCATAATACTTATGATTACTATAACTACCTATTACAAAACAAGTTTCATAGATTTTTAAGAATTTATCAAGGGTATTAGAAGATAATTAAATAGGATAAGATTAAATGAATTAATTTTAAGTCATAATACATAAGTATACTACTATACTACCTATTATAAAATAAGTTTCATAGATTTTTAAGAATTTCTCAAGGGTATCAGAAGATAATTAATTATCTTATCCTAGATAAAATGAATTAATTTTAAGTCATAATACTTATGACTATACTACTTATTATAAAACAAGTTTCATAGATTTTTACAAATTTCTCAAGGGTATCAGAAGATAATAGATTGGGATAAGATAAAATGAATTCATTTTAAGGAGAGTAGATGTCTAGATAGCCTAACAAATTGACAGGGAAATCCAACCTGATTTTAAAGATGAAATACCATTTTATACTTTTTCAGGATATATGTATAATTTCTTTGTTGACAGCTTAAAATAATACAAATAAAAAGCGTAAATTCTAAAAAGAAATCCTACTTAATTGCGCGTTAGTGCAGCTGATTTCGGTAGGGATTGAAGGCGCTGGCGACGCTTGGCTTCAAATTCAGTTGCCATTTGCCAGGTTTCTTTATCCAAAGTATCTTTGCCCCTGGCAATGCCCAGTAGTCGCGAAAGGACCAACAATCCATGCAGATCATCGGCATTACTTTTCGCATTAGCCTTCCGCATATCCACAAAGTCCTGTTGGATCATTTCAGTGTGCTCCTCGCTGACGCTGAAGGGGCTAATCCGGGCTGTTGTTAAATACTTGCGAAACTGCTGCAGCCGCGGCGCTTGAAGATAGTGGCGGGCTGCCTTCAGAGATTCTGCGAAGAGTTCCACGGCCTTTGCATCAGCATTTATGGGCATTATGAAGTCGCTCTAAGAAAAGAGAGTTTTTAATTAACGACTGTATATGTAAAAATAATAAATACGCTTACCGGCAACATACTGCGACCTTCACTGAGGACGAGAACCGGAATGTTCGCATGGTAGTCTATTTGGTAATACTGAAAGTCGCACTTAAGCTCCTGGTTGTTGATGAGATGGGCCAAATGTTGGATGGCATGAACGCCATTGGCCTCCAGTTTACCCTGTTGCATGCACGTCTCGTCGAGCACGAGATGCGTGTGGGGCGCCAACTGCAGTACGCCGGAGACCAGCTTGTTGGTCTCATAATCCTTCCTGCAAGTAAACACATTTGATGTATTAAATGATCTCAGCTAATAGTCTTTATCCCACTTACTTTGGAGCGAAGGCAGCCGTGTTCAATGCCTCCAGAGTCATCGGAAGGCGATGGCTGGCCGGCAGTAGCAGCTCCAGAATTTCGTACAGCTGGGTTGAGTACTCCAGACATTCCTTGGGCAGATTACACAGGTTCAGGGCAAACTTGCCGATGCTCTGCATCTCGGAACGGCTGTAGACTGATGAAATTAAATGCGAGAGCAAATACTCGGCAGCCAGATCGTCGTCAAAGAGGCACAGTTTAAGGAGCATTCGCAGATCCTTGTGCACAGCCAGCTGGGAAGGATTCACCTCTTCACATGGCTCAATGGGCTGTCGCAGGCTTTTGTCCAGCAGCGGATTGGCATGCGGCAGCATCTGGACGCCAAAGGCATGTAGTCGGGGTATCAGAAAAGGCGAAGGATGAGCTGCCTGCAGTTCACTTAGGTTTTCGCAGTCGTCGATGTCCAGGGTAGCGACATCCAGCGAGGATACTGATAAAAAGCCCACAAAGTCGACCAGCGAGTTGAGCTGATAGGTGTCGAAGTCCTCATAAACCTTCACCATGCAGGCCATGCTGGGACGACCAGGCAGCGGAGAATTAAGCAGATACTCGGAGCCGAGAGAAGAAGATCCTTTAGAGGCAGTCACTGGCTCCTCAACCGTCGTACATGGCCGCTTAAAGCTGGTTTCACCTTCGCCGTCCACCTCCATGGCATCCTGTTCATCCAAAGTTCTCTTTTTCGCCGAGCTAGGAGATTGAGCAGGAGGTACCAACTGGATCTGTGGACAGCACAGCTTCTCGTGCTCCTTGCTCCAATCATTCAGGCCCGGCACGGAGACCACAAACATGGTTCGCCGTTCGCCATGCACATTTCCCTCGGCATTGTAATCGATCTCCTCGCCGGTGGCCAGTTTCAGGCAGTCCCTGTACTTTCCGTCCTGCAGGCGCTTGCCGCCATCGGGTGACTTCACCTCGTAGCGCTCCAGGTAGATCTCCGGGTCCATCATGTCCTGGATCATGCCGCGAAACCGCACCAGAGTCTGATCCTTCAGCTTGTGCAGCGGCGTGTAGTTCAGCAGGGGAATCGAGTGCCAGCGACTGGGATCCTTCAGAAGGTCCTTGAGGCCAGCGCTGTCCCTGTGCTGGGCGGCCAGTTCTTCGGGCGTGCTGGGCAGGTCCATGGCACAGGGCATTACTTATTTAGTTTGCGAAATTAAAAAATCTCCAAGAGTGAATGCAAAAAAACAACAGCTGCTTTTGGCGCGCCAAAATGTGATTCGATTAATTCTATCGACCTGCCTATCGATGGTTGCCAGGGCTGACGCACCTCTGCCGCAGAACGGATGTGGAGGGCGGATGTGTGCACATCCGCAAAAAAGTGTACAATTTCGGGAATTACCGCAGCAAGAAGTCATGAACAAGAAAAGCAATGTGTGGCAGTACTTCTACAAGACCTCGGGAACGGTAGCCAAATGTCTCCTGTGCAATAGGAACTACTCGAGGAGGGGACGCGGCACAACTTGTCTGCGAAATCACCTGAAGAGCAAGCACCCACCGGAGTTCCTGGCTCTTTCCGGGGACATCAAGTACCTGGATCTGGTGAAGAACGAGATCTCCATTGGTTCGCCCCTGCATCCCACAGCCCAGTTGGAATTAAATTTGCACGTAAGTGGAATAGTATGAGTATTAGTATTAAAGTGTATCTTATAAGAGGGGGGTTCCCGCACATCTGTAGCCACATACTCTGGTATGTGGAATTGATTCCCTAATCCTTACATTTTAATTTAAAATTTATTTTAAAAGTAATTATAAATATTAAATTTTTAATATATTTCTGTAATTGAACTCGGCACCTAAAATTCGTACTCTTTAGCGGATGCGGATATCCGCATGACACTGTTTAAAAAATTTTAATTAAAAACCGTTAATTGAATTAACATTTTAGGAAACAGATCCTGATCCTTTGGACACCGAGGACATTTCGTACAGTCTGCGATGCGATGAGAAGTTGGCCCTCATGCTCTTGAACCACTCTTTTAAGTTCATCGAAGGACCAGGATTCGTAGATTTCATAAAGGTGCTGCAGCCAAGATATCTGATAAAGTCGAGGAGCTACTATGAGAACATACTGTGTGGGAATATATACAGGAAAATGCAGGAGCATCTGAAACTGCAGCTGGATCTGCTGGATGCCATCTCGTTATCCACAAGTCTTTGGCGGGGTGACAAAGGCGAAGGACTGTTGAGCTTGTGTTGTTCTGGGATCACAAGGGATTTTAGAACTCATCGTTTTATGCTGAAATGCGAGGTTCTAAATTATGAAAGCGCCTCCAAAGTGGCCTGTTCTATTCGAGATTTGGTGCCCAGCTTAACGATAGAGGTGCCCAAGGAGAAGACGCACTGCATCATCAGGGACGAGATGACGGCCCTGCCAGGATCCCTGCCCGACTGCAGTGTCCATCGCCTGCAAATGTGCGTGAGATTTGCTCTGCAGTCCAACGAATTGCTCCAGAATCTGTCATCGAAGTGCAAGCAAATAGTTGACCACTTTGCCTCCTCCAAGATGGCCAACGATCATCTTAAATTTATTCACGAAATCCGCCTGACGCGAGATCCTTGTGCACTGGTACCCTATGATCCTTTGCAATGGAATTCAACCTTCAAGATGATGGCCAGCGTGATCAGGATGAAAGATGCTATATCCCTCTATTGCGAAGAGTATAATCTGATCCAAATATATCCCGATGAATGGGTAGAGATTGATTTGTGCAATAAAGTAATGCAGCCGTGTGAGGAAACCATTAAGATTTGGAGCAATCCCTCAACGACGACTTCATCGGTAATTCCACTGGTGGCCGCTTTACGGGACTCACTTCGTACCGATGTCCATAACTTCGTTTCTTCGGTGGTAAGGTTAAAATAACTAATCAAATGAGTAATTTTTAACCTATTCAATCTCTAGACTATTTGTAGTTTTGCCAGAAAGCTGCTTGAAGAACTGGAAATGAAGTTTTCCCATGTCACCTCCGATATACAGTTCTTGATGGCCACCTATTTGGATCCGAGATACAAGCAGGCATTCTTCACCGAGCGAGAGGAGCACTTGGTGGCCAATGAAGTTTTGGTTTTGCTTACCAGAGTGCAAGATGAACGGAATGGTCAACCGCCGTTGAAAATAATCAAAGTGGCGTCCTCTTCCTCTCTTAAGAATGAATCAAAGATTGATAGTATACTGGATAGTATACTGACAACAGCCGCTACCAATAATACTCAACAGGCAACCACGTCTTTCGGGTCTCAGTCGCAGATTAAGAACCTACTATACTTGTACAATTCCGAGCCCAGAATCGATAGGAACATGGATCCTTTGATGTGGTGGAAGGCAAACATAAAGTATAGTGCCTTGTATGCCATCGTTCGGAAATTTCTATCGGCACCAGCAGCGAGTGTGGCTAGTGAAGGCTTATTCAGAGATTCTGCACACTTGTACGGTGATATGCAAGCGGGTCTGAGCTCCGAAAATGCTTCCAAAATATTGCTCATAAAGTCTAACTATTGTAATTCGGACATCAAGCAGTAGAGAACTTAAATTATATAATTTAAATTTTATTTATGACTATGTACATAGCTTTAGCTTTAACTTTGAACTTAAAACTAATTGATCGCCCGGAAAGTTAGATTTGCACTTAAGCCGAATATGTCTGATCGGGTTTTAGCCCCTGTAATCGGGATCATTATGTTCCTCATCGTCTTCCTCCTCCTCCTCTTCTTCATCTAAATTACGAATAGGTTTATTTTTTTGTTGATGTTGAATAAAATAAAAACTGTGAAACTCTTACCATGATCACGGCGTTTTCGGGTGTAGGCTCGTTTGCTGGCCACTGGCACTTGATCAGTTTCGCCGTGCAGCAACGAATTGCGATACAAGATTAGCGGTTGCCATTCCTCAGCTCGGCTGGATGGCATGGCGGGTGGTATCATCTTGTCCAGGAAGCTCATGATTACCTTCTTGTCCTGCTTCAACAGCTTGTAGTTGAACTCGTTCAAAACCTCCAGGAATAGCAGACGTGTGGGTGCTCGCACTGGATCATCGGACTCCTTGTTGGCAGCAAAATAAATGCCGCCGCGGTGAATTGCGGCCACAGACTCGCGATTCTTAATGGCATCAAAGCCAAAGGTGAGGGCAAAACGCTTGGCCAACTCCTTGAGGTCTACAAACTCTTGGGAGCTCTTCGAAACAGCTCCGTCCTCATGCTGCTCCTGGAGGCTCTTGAAAACCGTGGTAAGACTCAAGAGTAGGGTCATGGCAAAGTTAACTTTGTTTATCTCACGCGCCTTGCCCAAAGTGGCTTTAATTATGTCGCCATAATCGTTGTAGCACTAAAATAAATAGTTGTGATTAAAAACCCTGGCAATTTAAGAAATATTTAGACTCACCTTGACATAATATTTAAAAATGCTTGCCGCTCGCATTGTTGGTATAATATTGTACACCACCAACTTGCAGTAACAAGCCAAAAAGTTACGCTTCTTATGCAGCTCCTCGATTCTCGTTTCATCCTGGGCCACATCTTGCTTGAGGGAAAACACATAGTGCTGCACAAAGTTGTCCAGGATGAGGTGCTCATCCATGCGCGACTTGTACTCGAGGCCACGAATGTGTTCGATCTCACTGCGAGCCAACTTATCCGAGAAAATGATCAGCAGATCGCAGATGGACTGGTAGGCCTGCAAAACATAAAGATAGCAATAATTTACAAAAATAAAATATATTATTTATCACAAACCGCCTCCTGAATCTGCACTGTGGGTCCATCGCGAGTGAGCTCAAAGCAGGCTCCCATAAAGGTGTCCAAATTGTTGCGCAGCTCGGCCACCACCTCGGCCACGTTCAGTGACTCGCAATCGTTCTCCACGTAGTGAAGGCCCCAACTGATGGAGAAGTAGCAGGCCTCAATGCAATAGGCTAAAGCTTCGTTGGGCAGACAGCGGTCTACGTTCTCCTTGGACTGGGCCTCCTCGACGTCCTGGAAGAGGGATCTGAACAGCTCCCAGGGGTTGAGGTTGTGCGAGGAGTACAGAATAGAAAGGACTTTCAGGGTGATGGTTATGTTGTAAATGTCATCCTCATTGGGGGTCTCTTCGCCTGCGAAAATGAAAATTATTATTATTATTTTCAAGTGTTCGACTATAATGTAAAATTTACAGGTGAACTTAAAATTAGCTATAGCTACGGGATTTTAAGCTAAACAATTCCAGTTTTTATTCTTTTACTACAAATTTACAAGCTTAATTAGACTATTTTACTTCATTTAATTCTTTCTGTTATTAATTACAGGCTTAATCTAAATGTCATTAATTATGTTTTTAAGATATTCTATTATTTTTTTAATATCGGAAGCTTTTGGGTGAAATATTGTTGATATTCATATATAAGAGATATAATAGTCTCGTTGATAAATACCTTGTATAAGATTGCGCCATTCCTCTATTGCGTCCTTGTATTTGTTGACGGCGCTCTCAATGATGTTCGATCTGGCGATATTGCATCTCGTGTATGTAGCACTTCCCTCGGCACAAAGGCATTCAAGCGTTTTGGCGCATGTTTCGAGCACCTCGCGACCTGTGTGCATGCTCATCACCTGATTGATGCGGTCCAACAGCGCCTGTAGGTTGCCCTCCTGTCGATTGGTGGTGTACAGATTGAGATCAAAGTACTGGGGAACCGCAAGCAGGTTGGCTAACTTCTCACTGTCCGCCTGATATTTCTCCAAAAGGGAAGGCAGCGTGACGATAAAGTGTTCGGTCAGTTTGGCCTTCTCATCTTGAATAGCCTTCAGTTCCTTGGCACTAAGCGTACATTTGCGATTGCTGGCGCGTCCGACGGGAACTTCTCCAGTGGCCGATTGCTTGACGCTGCTGACCATGATCTCGATGAGCGTCGATTCCTGTTTGTTGTCCAGAACCTCCTCGTTAGGACCAGGCTCTTCCAGCAGCAGATCCGTCATACATTCCCAGTCCCTAACCATGTCGTTGCTATCGATGAAGGAGTCCACAAGATAGGCGCCATGCTCGTGCAGCTCGGATTCGATAAAGAATTGCACCAAGTCCCGAACCAGCGGTGTATTGGCCATGCGCACTTTGCCTCGCTTCGTCTTGGTCTCTTCCATGTCAGCAGTTAGATGAAACAAGCGGACGTTCAGGAACTCAGCGGCTGCCTGAGCAACACCACGATGCGAGGAATAGACCAACTCGTAGACGATTTCACAATCCTTGTCAGCCAAAATCTCTGGATGAATTCTGGAAATTAAAATAAACTAGTTTATCAGTAATCCTTAAATTAACAAATAATTAAACATACTTTAGAATACTGATGACCAGCTTGACGGCATGAACGGACACCTCAAACTCTTTGTCCAGAGTCATTGCCACAATCCTGTCCTTAAACTTGGACGTGAACAACTCCAACTTGCCTTTCAGCTCATCTTTTTCGTACAGCGGCAGCAACGATTGCAGACAGCGCAGGCGCACCTCCCCGATCTTGTCGTGCAGCGTCCAACCGATGTACTTTAAGTACGAGTCGTCCAGAAAGTTTTGCGGATAGTTCTCCATCCAGATGCCGATCTCGGCCATACAAATGGCCCGTATGTCTGGCAGACTATCCCTGTAGCGATGGACAAACACCGATTTAAACATGTAGGTCAACATGCTCTTTATCTCATCCATATTCTCCTCCAATTCGGAACGCTTAGTCATCAGTGAGTCCAAGCGATCGGAGGCACGGCGATCGCGAGACTAAAAAGGGCTGAGATTAGTAACACAATCTTTAGGGATATTATTAAACGCACCTTAACACGTTCAGCTTCGAATTGCTTTGCAGCATTGTCGAAGTTGTTCGAAACTAGCAGGGCTACATCCACCAAGGCAGTCATCAACTTCATGGCCGCCAAGGTGGCCGTGTGTCGAAAGGCTCGCACCTGCGAATCCGACAGGCCCGTCAGCAGCGAAATGACGTTGTCCATCAGAAACTGATCGTATATGATGGAGTACTGGCACTGCTTCACCAGCGTTTGCACAAAATCGCAGAAGTTGTTCTTGAACTTTCGCCACTGAGTTCCGGTCATGATCAATGGATATTCTCCGCTTTCCTGTGAATGTTTAACTGTTTAGTTTGCTTATTGGACATCTCCAGTAGACTTACCTCGTCAAACTCCTCGGTCATGCGTCGAATGATGGCCGTGTGGTCCACGGGATACTGGATATCCTCGGATATTTTGCCCTTGCAGCCGCTGGCATTTATGAAGAACTGCATCAGGGCGACCAGCGCGGTTTCTCGGTTTGCCTTGTACTGCTCAATCCACTGGTCAACAATGCTCTGGAATGGAATGGTAGAATATTATTTGATTCACAGCAAGGCAAATAGCTTCCTACGGCAATGGGATTCTTGGAGTGCCGCACAATGTAGTACAGGCTGTTCTCGTCCGTAGTGATCTCCCGCTCGTTGTCGATCCGCTCGTGGTGTCCCTTGTCCACGGGCTCCTTGCGCGGCCGTTCCACGCGTTCCTTGCGTTCCTTCGGATCTTTGCGGGTGGCGGGAGTCTTTCGTTTGCGCGCAATTGGCGCGAAGAAGTCGTCCTCGTCATCATCAATTATGGGCGGCTTATCCCGCACGCCGCCGCGAGCACGCAGCCTGGTCATCCGCTTGGTGGGACTATCCGCATCCGAGGTGCTCTCATTTAGAGCGTCGCTAAAACAAATAGACACTTATTTTTTAGGCAAACACAAATGGTGGGAAAACAGAGCGCCCGAACCTGTGCAATTCCTCGTAGTCCGGCGGCGGATCATCCATCCGTATTCGCTTTCCCCCGCGACGCGCCATCATTTTACGTATTCAACTGGTGGCTCACTGGTATATTTGGTGTCTAAACATTAAATGTTTAATTAAACAACACAATTTGTAGGAAAATAGCGTCTGCTTATTTTCAGTGATGGCACTACCACCCAAAATACAGCGCGAAAAATATCGATAACGGAAATCGTGAGCAAGGGCTGCAAATCTAGGTAAACTTAAAAACTTAAAATATTAAATAATTTTTAAAAATCTATCATCTGATTTAATTTTTATAATATAAAGGAAAAGATAATTTTTATTTTTTTAGCTCGTTTCGTTATGCATTAAAAAAAACTGTGCAGCCCTGAATAAATGCATTCATATATCGATAACGCGAATCGCCGCTTCACCAGAAGAAAGAAGAAGAACCAAAACAAAATTTAGCTGGAAATATAAACAAATTAAAAATACATAAATTATGACTGAATTTGGAGGAGATTCGGGTGGTCGGCTAAAGGGCGTGACCATAGTCAAGCCCATTGTGTACGGGAACATAGCCCGATCCTTCGGCAAGAAGCGGGAGGAGGACGGACACACGCACCAGTGGAAGGTCTATCTGAAGCCCTATTTCAACGAGGACATGTCCATTTACGTGAAGAAGGTGCACTTCAAGCTGCACGAGAGCTACGCCAATCCGAACAGGATCGTGGTGAAGCCGCCCTACGAGATCACCGAGACCGGATGGGGAGAGTTCGAGGTGGTCATCAAGATATACTTCAACGATCAGTCGGAGCGCCCGGTTACATGCTACCACATCCTGAAGCTCTTCCAGTCGCCCGTCGTCGATGGTGAGCTCACCTCCAGCACAACCATGGACACCAAGAAGGGTCTGGTCTCCGAGTCGTACGAGGAGATCGTTTTCCAGGAGCCCACCCAGATCATGCAGCACTATCTTCTGCTCTCGGAACAGAGTGCCAATGGTCTCTTAACCCACGACACTGATTGTAACTACTATTTATTTACTATATCCAATTGGTTAGCAATAATTTTAACTTTTCTAGTTGAGGAAAAGAAGACGAAAACGCTGGACAATATTGTCAATGTAAAACAGAAGGTAAAGGGCGAGATTGTTACACTTAAGGACAAACTAAAGCTGGCACGTGAGACAATTTCAAAATTCAAGGCGGAATTGGCCAAGGTGCAAAAGCAACCGGCGTAATAAATGCACAATTTCTATGCTGAAATGCTTTCCATGCATTCAGTTTCGAATAAGTGTAATGATTTTAAGTCCCTATGTGTAAATTATTAAATAGAGGATTCAAAAATGTGCATTGTTTGATATTAAACATATTAAACAAAACTGGATTTTACAATTTGCCCGGTACAATTACGATTTATATCGATGGCTATCGGTGTAAAAAACTGTGTCTCTATAGCTGTGATCAGCTGAAACCACAATTGTTTATATATTTATTCGAAAAACATATAATTTATTGTGATCAGTGTAAAGATGACAAGCATTGTTAACTTGAATGACAAGTGCCTACTGTAAGAGGAGTAGTGTTATTTACCTTGGATATATCTTTGGATAACATTTATTTTAGTAAAATTTTAGAGTTCCTGGATCTTGGGGGACAACTGCTCCTGTGGGAGGCTACTGATCCCAAATCACGCCTGAACAAGGTGATTTCAAACTGCTGGCAGAGCCGAAACAACCACTCTTTACATGGTAAATTTTTTGAGGATAAGACAGAAGTTCTTCAACATTTTCTGCAGTGCATTAGTCATTCTGTGGTGAAACTAACTCTCGTAGATTTTTCCATAGATCAGGGATATTCTTTCCGTAGTTTTAGCTTTCCTAGTGTACGGGAATTAGACTATTCGCTGGAGAAATCCGATACAGACGATATAGAGACTTTGGTAATTTGCTTTCCCCTAATAGAGTCCTTTAAATTAAGAGTTAAGAATGAGGATCCTACCTTTGAACTATTCTCTGGTCATCATATGGTCAGGTGGGAGCACCTAAGGAAATTGGACATTGTCGCTGCCTTTGAGCACTTGAAAACTAAATGTTTTCAAGACATCTGCCAGAGATTGCAGCTTAAGTTTCTAAGTGTGACGTGGAGAGATTCCGAGGAGGACGCCTATGTAGAAGCCATAGGCAAATTGCAGGAACTGGAGGAACTGCATTTGGAACTGATGCTTCTCAGCAGGGAAAACACGATACATCTATTGTCTCTGCCTAAGCTAAAGAAACTTCGCCTTGATGAATTCGAAGATGTGGAGGATTTGATCGACAACGTGGTCGAAATGCGGGGACAGGATGTTGTATCCTTTACCTGTAACGAGAACTTTTGGCTTTGGCTCACTCCCAACCGTTTCCAAAATGTGCGAAAAGTGTGCATTTTGAATGAAGGAGTCGTGGATGGAATATGGAGTCTAGAAAGCTTTAACGACGATCTTAAAGAATTTCCTTGCTTGACAGAATTGTATATGGTGGACATCACCATTTGGCAGACTGGCGATGAGTTTTGGGAGATGATAGCCTTCCTTCCCCAGCTGCAGCTACTATATTTGCAAAATCACGAAATTGAGGAAGGATTCTTGGAGTTCAGTGCAGCGACTATGGACAAGGCTTTATATCAACGGAAAGATCCTTTGGTCATACATTTTTTGGAAACTACTCAAGAGGATTTGGTAAATTTAATTTAATAAATGTTATTTTAGGATTCTAATGATTTTTTATTTCAAAGATCTTTAAAGTTCTGAGTCATCCTAAACTAGAGATTTCGTTTACAGTTATTAAGGATGCTTATCCCATTTTAGAAGGCGGACTTTTGGAACTGGAATTAACACCTTTAAAATAGTAAAGACAAATAAAATGTAATAAAGCGATTATAAAATAAAAATAATTCAGATTAAAAATATGATATTAAAACACTTTTTTGTGATGTGGGCTCATTTCTAACAAATCTAAATAAAAATTGAAGTCTAAGCTGGCATGACAAAAAAGGTCATATTAAGAGCTAATCTTTGGATAAAAATTGTTTATTTTATTTGTTCCGTTATTTAGTGGTTTTCCCCGTAGTTGTTCAACATTGCTGATGCCCACTGTAGCCCGATGAACCGGTGAATTCGGAACCAGCGATTCTCACCGGTTCGCCGGCGAGCGAATCAATGCAGCTGAACCAGCGTCGCGGTTCCGATTCCAGTTCCAGCTCCAGCATCCCCACGGAATAATAAATGCCATTGTTTATTTGACTTGTTGAGTGCATGTGCTTGTCCGGTGGCTTCGGGGCCCGATCGAAATCGAAGCCCGAATTAAAGATATACAATGATTTTATGGAGCTGCGTCGTTAACGTGTAATGTGCATAAATAATTTAGGCCCACGACCCAGACACACATACACATATATAAGCCATAAGTGATGCGCGATTGCCGAGAGTGAAAATTATTAACTGCGCAAACGCAAACGCGTTTCTCCACCTAGAATTACTCGAGTAACTTGGGAAAAAGGTGAGTTAGAGGCTTTACAAATGTTTTGAGTTCCGGAATTTACAGATATTTTCGGGTTTACCCCCACCATTTGCAGACAGCCCCCCGCCCCCAATGACGCTGCTCACATCCTCGCTGCTGCTCTTCTCGCTGCTGACGTCGCGGCTGGAAGCAATTCCGGTTTTGGAGAATATCCCCGCCCATCCCCCCTCGCACCCCTCGCCTGGCGTGCGAATTCTTCGCGCACCCGAATCTTTGGTGGCGCCCCTGGGAGACGAGGTGGTGCTGGAGTGCGAGACCAGTTTGCAGCCCGAGCGCTTCGAATGGACCCACCGATCAAGCAAATCTCCTGGTGCGGGGTTCAAGTACCTCCGGACGGGAACGGCCAAGGCGAATGTCACCCAGGAGGCGGCCATTTCGCGGCTCAGGCTGCTCGTCCGGCCGGACACTCTAGGGGAGTACCGATGCATTGGCTGGTTCGGTCCACTGGTGGTCACCTCCACCGGTGCCCGACTGGAGCTGGCCAGCACAAGCCTGGTGGCTAGCCAGGAGTCGGAGGAGTCCCTCCAATGGCGTGTGCCCGCTGGAAACTCTGTGCTCTGGTCCTGCGGACAACAGGTGCAATCCAATCCACCCGCCAGCTGGTCTTACTACCGCAATGGAGTGGAAATCAAGCCAGAGTTCGTCGGAACCAATGGAAATCTATTTCTGAGCAATGTGTCCTCGGAATCCTCGGGCAGCTACTCCTGCCAGGCCACCAATCCTGCCTCCGGGGAGAGAATCCAGCTAGCCGGCACGCTGCAACTGCAGGTTACACCAAGCCAGAGGTCGCAGAGCAAGTCACCGCATTTGCTGAAGGGACAGCCGAGCAGCCAGGTGATAACCAGCCGCGAGGGAACCTCCCTGCTGCTGCTGTGTCCTGGTGTGGGTTCACCCCCACCCGCAGCTGTCTGGAGCAGTCCCGATGTAGCTAAAAATAAGCGTTGGAAATTTTATGGCCATGCTCTAGAGATCTCCAACATTGGGTTGCAGGATGCAGGCACCTATATCTGCTTCCAGGACAATGGAGTGCGGCCTGCTTTGGAGCACTACATACAGGTGCGCGTGGAGCAGCCGCCGAAGATTGTGCGACCACCCTGGGCGGATCTTACGAACGAGGGAGCCCGCCTGCAGCTGGAATGCGAGGCCACTGGAGTGCCGAAGCCGCACATCTACTGGCTGCTCAACGGACACAGCAGCATTGACGACACGGAGGCTGAGCTGTCCGGTAATAGTCTCGTATTACATAGCGTTTTGAAGCGCCATGCCGGTTATGTTCAGTGTTTTGCCCGAAATTCCCTGGGCGAGGATAGTGCCGGTACTCTACTGCAGGTGAATCCCAAGCAGATTCAGGAGCCCCGCGAATCGGGAGGAACCCACCGTCCAAAACCCAACCAGGGCACGAAGCAGAAGCAAATGGTTCCACCATCTCCACCGAATGTCACCCGACTCACCGATGAATCCGTGATGCTCCGCTGGATGGTGCCGCGCAACGATGGATTGCCCATTGTCATTTTCAAGGTGCAATACCGCATGGTTGGCAAGCGCAAGAGTTGGCAGACTACCAACGATAATATACCCTATGGAAAACCCAAGTGGAACTCTGAGCTGGGCAAGAGCTTCACGGCCTCCGTAACGGATTTGAAGCCCGAGCATACCTACCGTTTCCGCATCCTGGCCGTTTACTCCAACAACGACAACAAGGAGAGCAACACCTCGGCCAAGTTTTATCTTCAGCCTGGCGCAGCACTTGATCCCATGCCAGTGCCCGAACTGCTGGAGATCGAGGAGCATTCGGAAACGGCGGTGGTTCTGCACTGGAGTTTGGCCAGCGATGCGGATGAGCAACTGATCACGGGCTATTATGCCTACTATCGACCCTCTTCGTCGGCTGGGGAATATTTCAAGGCCACCATTGAAGGAGCCGAGGCGAGGAGCTTTAAGATCGCTCCCCTGGAAACGGCCACCATCTACGAGTTCAAGCTGCAGTCCTTTAGCTCCGTTTCTGCCTCCGAATTTAGTGCCCTTAAGCAGGGACGAACGCAGCGTCCCAAAACCAGTACCACCGAGGAGCCCATCCAGCAAATGGGCGACACTACAACTCCCAGTCACAACGAAACGTTCAGCATGAGTCCCATGCTAACAGGGACAATTGGCGGTGGTGCAGTGCTGATCCTGCTTTTGATCAGCACTTGTTTGTGCCTGTGCCGGCGGAGGAGTTCCCGAGGCAGGGGAAATAATCCGAATAAGCCACGGATGGCTGAGCTGCGGGATGATTTCGTGCCGCTGGGAAACTGTTCACCCACCAAACAGCGCCAGCGAACCCGGCACATACACATCACCCTAAATCCGTTGGCCCAACAGCAGCAGCAGCAGGCGATGGAGGAGAAGAACGACAACGACCAGGATACGGCCTACTATCAGCGACCGACTAGCTACGATTACGATCCCGGCTTAAGGAGGATGTCCTCCTCCTCGCTGCGTCGCTCACAACGCACGCTGGAACGTGCTGGTGGGAGTAATGGCTCCAGCAACGGCAACAATAACAATCTCAATCAATCCGGTGAGGCGGGTCCTGTCGAATCTACCGGCAAGCCAGGACGTGTGCTCATGAAACGCCCCCGGCTGTCCAGTCGCTCCGAGAACCTCTCTTCCGGCAGCCTCAACAGCGTGGGCGTGTAATCGCTATCTCGTGATCTTTAGTCCGTACATCCCTACGCCCGATGTATTACGCCTATTCCTCTACCTCTGTTTTATCTACCACTTTGAATGACAAAACCTTTGCTGTTTGTACTTATACGAGAATACCACTTAGAATTAAGGTACTTAAATAGACATTACTAGATTTATGCATGCTTGATCGTTTAAGAACATAGCATTATGTCCATTCTATCGTAAGTCTTCCATGTTTCGCGATAAGATCAAAATCTGTACTGATAGCTTCTTAATGACCTTTACAAAAATGACAATAAAGCTTGTAGCTTCATCTTTAAAACTATATTTAATCGATTTTAAAATTAACTTTACGGATAGATTTTTTTTTTAATTTTCAAATAATTCAAAGTTTTTTAAACGATTAACAAGGGGTAGGTCAAAGGAGATTGGGATATTAAAAAAATCATTGTCACTAAGCAATAAATTTAAAAACCGGGAAAATAAAGAGTAAAATAATAATATATCAAAAAGGAAATATATTTTTTACTCATTCCTACTTATATCTTACCCTTTGAAAGATAATTTTAAAGTCATTGCCTGATTGGTTTTCCTTTTAATTATTCTCGACTCGTAAGTTAGTTTAGTTTAGATGGATTATAGGGGGATTCCCTAAACTGTTGAATTGCTGAATTGTTGAAAATTCAACAAAAAATTTCAGCAATTAAGGGAACGACCCAAAATGGTTCCTGTTGAATTTTCAAACAGCTGTTATTTGTTGAAAACTTTCACGGAACTTAAAGCATGTAAAATTTGATTTATTATTGCTAGTTACTGTCTAAAAGTGTTACCAAGGTAAAAACCACCGCAAATATGCTTTCTAAGTTGATTTTAAAATAAATAATGCGTACTGGTGATACTAAAATGTTACAGAGTTGCCACGACTTTTAAAAAAAGGTGACAACTCTGGCTTTTCAGCAATTCAACAAAATTTTCATCAGCCCCGAGGCTGATGAATTGCTGAAATTTCTGAAAGTTGACTTTGTATGGAACAGCTGATTAACAGCTGACCAAAATTCAACAATTCAGCAATTCAACAGTTTAGGGAATCCCCCTTAAATTAAAAACAAATTAACACAAAATTTAAATTTATGATTACGGTATATTAACGGTATATCGTGTAATGAGGCAGTATTTTTCTGCATTCAAAAGTGAGGCGCTAGGGATTTGTTATCTCCAAAAGGCGTTTGGGATTATTAAGCTGACAGCTAATAATTGGGTCGTCGTCAAAATTTCTATTAGAATCGTTTTTTTTTGTACAAATTTTTGTCCGAGAAATCAAATGAAGCGGTTACGCTGAGGACGAAGCTGCTCCAAACCCGCACAGAACGTAAGCCACCGAACGCGGGTCTCACAAAGTCAACAAATGTAAGCGTTCCATTGTTTTTTTTTGCAGTGCCAGCAGCTGAGGGCCTGGCCACAAAAACAAAAGAAATCCCAAAATCGCAACTGGACGGGGGCAGGATGTCGAACCTATCCGTGGGCCAGATGATAATGGACGCGCAGCGCATGGCCAGCCGGGTCAAGGACCTGGACGCCCTGGGCACGGCGCTCCTCGAGGAGGCGGAGACCAACAATCGGCTGGTGGAGAGCCTGCGGCAGTACCAGGACGACATCGAATCCCTCAACCGCATCTCGAACAACAAGACCAACGCGGACATGGTCAATCGCATCCAGCAGCAGAATATCAACAGCTCGGAGATCCTCAAGGAGAACCGCGAGCTGAAGATCTGCATCGAGGACTATGAGCGAGTAATGGAGCTGATGATGCAAAAGTATCGCGAGCACACCGTCTCCAAGGTCCTGGACAGCAAATTCAGCTTCAAGGAGCTCTACAACGAGCGCATGTGGCAGGTGATCCGGGAGCAGCGAGAGAAAATCAACGAAATGGCCGCCGTGATGCAGCGGGCGGCCAGTGTGGACGATGGAATGGTGCAGCGGGAGCTGCAGACCATTTCCCAGTTGCGCCTGGAGAACGAGACGCTGCGCGAGCTGCTCCAGATTTCCAAGCAGTACGGCTCCTCCCAGCGACCCATCCGCGAGAGCGACCACCTGCTGGAGGAGAAGGCCGTGCAGACGGACAGCCAGGCGGACGACTCCGCCGACGACCTGTCCATATCGGGCGCCTCGGTGGAGAATATGAACAACAACTCGGTTATCCAGATGTACAGCAGCAGTCCGGAACAGCCAACAAAGGTCACTGCAGCCGCTGCCGCCACCAATTCAATCATCACTGCCCCAGTTCAGAGTCAAAGTGACACACAAGCACCAAATGTGACGCCGGAGACAACGGCGGCGGCGCCGGCTGAGCAACCGGAGGCCAACGAGAACAACAACGGACCTGCAGTCAATCCAACCAGTGCCCCGCCGCCAGCGACGACGCTTAACGATTCTGGCGAGGATCTGGCGGCTGTGGCGCCCGCAACATGATAGGAGCTGCTGCTCAACGTTGTTGATTCATTTGGTCTTCATTTCAATCGCCGCGCTGTTCCATCATATTTACTCACCCACTCACAAAACAGCCTGCATACGATGAGGGCACACATAACCTGCATTAGGTCTTAGCGGTTGATAATCTCTAAGTAATTTATATATAATACGCATTGCAGCATAATGTTCATACACGCATTGTAAACAATGAAGTTCATCATTTAAAACAAGGTAAACCCACTCACCACACACACGAATGTAATGTACCATGTACTCTGTCGATTTTATGATTTCTAAATAAATTCCATAACAAATCGAGGATTAACCAAAATTTTATGGTTGTTTTTTTTATTGAAAAGATAATAAGATCTTTTTTAAAAGGCATCCTCCTATGAAAAAAATTTAAGAACATTAATAGGAAAACGAGACATTTCAAGCGTAGATTTCCCATTAATCTGAATGACTAAAGAGAAGCGGTTAAATTCTTATTCACTGGTTATGAATCAGAGTTCTGCGAGAAAGGCTGATCAGAACTGGATATTCATGTATATTTATGACTAACAACGATCATAAAAATTAGCATTTCTCATAAGCGCCGGTTTTTTAGCAGCAGATTCGAATATGGTTATAAAGACTTCCCACATATATTTCACATATCTATTGAGACTTAAATTTACAAGTTTAAGGTGCTATAAATCATTTATTGTAATAATAACGGAAGCAAACTAAGGAAGATATTGCAACAATTATAGCAGCAAAGTCAAAAAATGTATATTTCGGTGAGTTAAAGTATTTGTTATTTTGTTAAATGCATTTAAAAATATCCTTTAAGAGTTCATTAACATTAATTTTTGAAATCTTGAGAACTGAGTACTCCAGCCGGTTTGAGCGTCGCAAGAACTTAAAAAGGTTTTCGAAAATTTTCGAATAAATCTCACAGATTCTCTTAGACGACATCGAAATCAGTACTCTTCAGGAAAATACTTTACCTCGTACGACTGGTAGTTTAAGCTTTCCGAAATAATTTAAATTTAGTTTCTCGTCGATTTTCAACGCGTCCGCAACCCAAAAACAGTGCCAAGGAACAGCGCCCGGTTCGCATGACAGCTATCTATATAAGTATTTCGAGTGCTCGGGCGATCGACGGTTATATTAAAGCTATATAAATATATATCTACGTGCGGGCCTGTGTGCGTGCATGGGATTCAAGTGAAAAATCGATTTTGGAATCGTTGAATTACATGGATCGTATTGAAGATGAAATAAACAAATATTTGTGTAATATCTAACGGTATTTCCGAAAAGTCTTGCATTTGAAATCGCTTGGGAAGATTTATGGGAAGTGCGCTGCCATTTAGCAAGAAGAAAACTAGGCTATTTTTAAAACACAGCTAATTTCTGTGGCCGTAAATGTTTTGTATAAAGTGAATATTCCAAAATTAAATCAAACAAATCGCAAGCGAGGCAATAGCTCATTGTGTGATTCGAAGTGAACGAAAGGATTCGTATTCGAGGGGGATTTAGTCCCTCGAGATCTATATCTATGGTGTAATCGGCAGGTAAATGCTGAGTGCTGAATAATCCGAAGCAATACGCACCGAATCCCGGCGGTTACGCAACCCAGCTGAAAGATCCACACACCATCCAAATCCACATCCCAAAGGCTGGCCCCATTCCTCGTCGTCCAGCCGCAAATTATTCTAAATGCGGAAGTATTTCGTGTGAGTCGACTGCGTTCTAAATTAAGTCACACATTTTGCAAGTAGCGCCGTCGAAAAACAGAACGCTTCAGATGAAAATAGGTTAAAACGGTGATAATTATTTATAAACGCACTAGGGATTTGCAGCGATCGAATCGAAGACAAGAGAGAGCGAAGAGAAAGGAGTGGTGAAAGCTCCTAGACTTTCTCTTCGGCTCGCTCTTACGATTAAGTTTTGATTTTCGCCAAAAAACATGCGCAAGCGGAACCAATTCGCCTGCGCAACTTCCACCTGTGCTAGTTTGTTGTATTCCCTCTCTTGATCGCTCTAAAAATATACAATAGACGGATACATATTTGTTATTGTTTATATTTACCATTTCTATCCGGATGTTTACTGTTAGTAAATAGTGCATTGCCTGATGTGGACAAATAAGGAAACAAATTTCGATAAAACTGAATATTTTTAAAGTTATTAGAAGGAAGTGGGTTAAAAATAATTAAATCACATTTTGATTTGTTAAAAATTTTTAAAAAGCCTTTTAACTTAAACCTACATATTAAACAAATATGAAAACAAATATTTTGGAAAGTTCAGTACAGACTAGTCTTTAAAAATATTACATGAAGAAAGGAACAAAAAAAAACTCAGTTCAATAATATTGAAACAATATTGAAGTTCAAAATATCACTTGTTGTGATTCTTAAACACAATTTTTGAGCTAGATTTGAACAAGCAATCTGAAGCTAAACTCCTTCTAATATCAGTAACATTAATTCTTCCTTTTGTTGTTTTTGATAAGTCATAAAAATCTTATGATCATGTAGTCTTTTAATATAAGATACACAAAGCTTTAAATCGGAATGTCGTAATGGAAGCAATTGAGAAATATGCACATAAAATTGGATTAATGCAATATCTTATAAAAATGTTATTGCTTTATTTACCCAAAGGTATTTTTGCCTATAAAAATATTTTATAGCTGCCTCAAATATGATTTCAAAAGCTTATCCAGGCATTGTCGAAATTCTTTATTGCTAATTGTTAATGACCGAATCGAAGGCATTGATCTACATCTGCACTTGCAAGTACAAATAAATACAACATCCGTTGACACTATCTATCAAACCAGCCAGCTATTCAATT